GATTTTGCCGGGTGGCGTCGTCGTCCGTCGCCGTTTTCTAGGGCTCTCACGGACGCCCTCTGCTGCACGGTCGTGGACTGGCGACGGCCTCGACGCCACGCGCAAACTGGCGTCTACGCCAACGACAACGGCGCCACCGATCGGATGTTTCACGAATGTTAAGATAATACTGTGCGTATACTTATATATACATATATTATTATGAAACATAAACAAAGAAAAGTTACATAACAAACTAAAAAAGTTATTTTGAATCAACATTTAACCCAAAGCAACTATTTTTAATAAAATTTGTTATCGCAAAATTTATGATTTAAATATATAGGGCATACAATTTTGGTGGATGCGCCGGGAAATTTTTTCTACCACGCAAATTGTTGCATATTATTTCGTCCATTATCTCCAATAACAACCGATTCAATTTTAAATAATAATAATTGATATCAAAATATTTTCTTTATAATTAATTATTAATCCAATTATTTAATTACTTCATTGTCCAAATCAATAATATCCATGGACGTACTTAAATGTTATATAATATAACACAATTTATCGTAAATAACTTCTTGCAAAAATTCGTTGCTAAGATTTTGTTAAAAAAGTTATGTATTTGCATCATTATCTCTGCCTTCATCTACATCTTTCCTATTATATTATACAGTGCTTCCCAAAACTAACAGATAAATTCTTGAAAACAATTAAAAACGGTTTATAGGTTATTACTCCCATTTTTGTTACGGAATATGAAAGAGGATTTTTTTCTAAATTTGGTACAGCCAAAATTAATATTAGTTGCGTAAAAAAATTTTCGAGAAAAATAGCCTTAAAGTTTCATGATTTTCCATTCAATTAAGGTAGAAAAATAGCAGTAGCCATGCGTAACCATGGCAACCAATTGTTTTAGATAGTTTATTAAGACAATAATTAATTTTTGATGTCCGAAACAGTTGGTTGCCATGGTTACACATAGCTATTTTGCTATCTTAAATGAATGGAAAATCATGAAACTTTAACATAATTTTTCTCGAAAATTTTCTTATATAACCAATAGTAATATTGATTCCGTAATAGAAAGGGAGTATAATAATATTAATAATAATAATAATTTATTGAATCAATCGTATGGCATGATTCGGTAGCCCGTTCTTCCATCATGCCATAAATAAACTATACTATATCCTAATTTACGAATGCGCTCGGTGCAGGATAACAACATATAAATGAAAATACGAACAGTCATAACAACTAACTAAAAAAGAACAACAAAAAAAAATCCTGAACTAAAAGTTCTTAGAAAAAGTTCGGAAAGCTCGACGTCTTCAATCAATTCCAAAATAAATCAAAAGTCGTCATATCGGACAAGATTCTGTATACATTTATTGAAATTAAGCGATTAGTCAATTATAACACCTAAATTCTTAACTTTTTCCTTGAGTTTCTCTTATCTCTTAATATGATCCCTCACATCTTTCAATATATCTCTTTCAATTTATAAATATCGCTTTATTATCTCTCGACGATGAACCTAGTCTCCCTCAAATCTTCTCCATCATCTACAAATAACGTTCCTCATATCTCTAATTATCGTTCTGATCATCCCTAATATATCTTTAACGTCAACGTAATTCGCAAACTGCTCTAGCATCCCAAAACATTTTGCCCATTTTACTTATCTCACAACGTCATCAACACAACTCATCAAGGTTTCAATATTAAATAAACTTTTAGCACCAAAATTTAACGTAAAAAACTGATTTGAAAAGAGTTGATTAAGAAACAGAGTATTTCTGCAAATAATTCGAAGTGATGGTAGATTTGTGTATTCATCATGTTCATAGTTCAATAGAGGTGTTGCGAATTTCAATCTATAACGCAGATTTTCAGATTTATTGAAATATCTAGCCTCTAAACATCTACATTCGTTCGCAGAAGATACACATTGGTGTTGGAAATTCTTGGAAATACACAATCTCAGAATGAATCCGAAATTGTCCAAAAATATCATGAATGAAAGAAAAAATGTTTTTGAAAATTTAAAATTATAACGTGGTTAAAACATGAATATTAAATCGTTTTGAAATAGCACAACTATTGTTATAACGCACCCTTTTGTGTACTNGTAAAACAACGTGGTGGAGATATTATTCTCTTGAGAACTCTTGTGGACAATTGTTTTCGGAGTTCCCAGATTATGAGGGATCACATTACGCACCAATGTGATTTACGAATTCATAGAGATGTCTGAATGGGCTACACGTTGCCTACACACTTCTAGAGAAAAATGTCTTTCTTTGTCGTAATTGCATTGCACATTTTTGCCATGCAGTTGCATCGTATTCGAAACATTGAAAATAAATCATCATACGCTCTACCATACGCTTCTGCGTTAATAAATGACATGTTTACTGTTACCATGGTTATGTGATTTGTTTTTCTCGATGAGGTAACTGGATCCGATTGATGGCACTCGAGTTTTTAACATTTTCTTCTATAATTCGAGAACGGGTGGCGATATCGAGATGCGGTTTTCACTAAAATTTAGCAAATTTTAAGGTGACTAAGGGTCTGTGAAGTAAATAGTATCGTTCCGTTTAACTTTTCTTCAAAAATCACAAAGATATGTAATCGCTGCAGATAACGTCCTCTAGCTCATTTGTTTTAAAACAAACTATCTTACTGAAAATAACTTAAGCATCTTATGCATTTTATGCTATCTTATGCATTCTATCCAAACCTCTAGGAATTACCGTTCTAGAGATACAGCCGCTCCGTACGCTTAACGGAACACCCTGTATACACATATTATTATGAAACATAAACAGAGAAAAGTTACATAACAAACTAAAAAAGTTATTTTGAATCAACATTTAACCCAAAGCAACTATTTTTAATAAAATTTGTTATCGCAAAATTTATGATTTAAATATATAGGACATACAATTTTGGTGGATGCGCCGGGATATTTTTTCTACCACGCAAATTGTTGCATATTATTTCGTCCATTATCTCCAATAACAACCGATTCAATTTTAAATAATAATAATTGATATCAAAATATTTTCTTTATAATTAATTATTAATCCAATTATTTAATTACTTCATTGTCCAAATCAATAATATCCATGGACGTACTTAAATGTTATATAATATAACACAATTTATCGTAAATAACTTCTTGCAAAAATTCGTTGCTAAGATTTTGTTAAAAAAGTTATGTATTTGCATCATTATCTCTGCCTTCATCTACATCTTTCCTATTATATTATACAGTGCTTCCCAAAACTAACAGATAAATTCTTGAAAACAATTAAAAACGGTTTATAGGTTATTACTCCCATTTTTGTTACGGAATATGAAAGAGGATTTTTTTCTAAATTTGGTACAGCCAAAATTAATATTAGTTGCGTAAAAAAATTTTCGAGAAAAATAGCCTTAAAGTTTCATGATTTTCCATTCAATTAAGGTAGAAAAATAGCAGTAGCCATGCGTAACCATGGCAACCAATTGTTTTAGATAGTTTATTAAGACAATAATTAATTTTTGATGTCCGAAACAGTTGGTTGCCATGGTTACACATAGCTATTTTGCTATCTTAAATGAATGGAAAATCATGAAACTTTAACATAATTTTTCTCGAAAATTTTCTTATATAACCAATAGTAATATTGATTCCGTAATAGAAAGGGAGTATAATAATATTAATAATAATAATAATTTATTGAATCAATCGTATGGCATGATTCGGTAGCCCGTTCTTCCATCATGCCATAAATAAACTATACTATATCCTAATTTACGAATGCGCTCGGTGCAGGATAACAACATATAAATGAAAATACGAACAGTCATAACAACTAACTAAAAAAGAACAACAAAAAAAAATCCTGAACTAAAAGTTCTTAGAAAAAGTTCGGAAAGCTCGACGTCTTCAATCAATTCCAAAATAAATCAAAAGTCGTCATATCGGACAAGATTCTGTATACATTTATTGAAATTAAGCGATTAGTCAATTATAACACCTAAATTCTTAACTTTTTCCTTGAGTTTCTCTTATCTCTTAATATGATCCCTCACATCTTTCAATATATCTCTTTCAATTTATAAATATCGCTTTATTATCTCTCGACGATGAACCTAGTCTCCCTCAAATCTTCTCCATCATCTACAAATAACGTTCCTCATATCTCTAATTATCGTTCTGATCATCCCTAATATATCTTTAACGTCAACGTAATTCGCAAACTGCTCTAGCATCCCAAAACATTTTGCCCATTTTACTTATCTCACAACGTCATCAACACAACTCATCAAGGTTTCAATATTAAATAAACTTTTAGCACCAAAATTTAACGTAAAAAACTGATTTGAAAAGAGTTGATTAAGAAACAGAGTATTTCTGCAAATAATTCGAAGTGATGGTAGATTTGTGTATTCATCATGTTCATAGTTCAATAGAGGTGTTGCGAATTTCAATCTATAACGCAGATTTTCAGATTTATTGAAATATCTAGCCTCTAAACATCTACATTCGTTCGCAGAAGATACACATTGGTGTTTGAAATTCTTGGAAATACACAATCTCAGAATGAATCCGAAATTGTCCAAAAATATCATGAATGAAAGAAAAAATGTTTTTGAAAATTTAAAATTATAACGTGGTTAAAACATGAATATTAAATCGTTTTGAAATAGCACAACTATTGTTATAACGCACCCTTTTGTGTAGAATTTCTTACAATTTACAACAAAAGCGCCTTCAGGTGCAATCCCACTTAGTTATGGACCACCATTGTTTTGCGAATGCAATGGAGTCAACAATAGCAGTAAAGAGTAGTCTCCGCGGTCATTTCGTTCGTGGTGTTTTCCGGTTTTGTTTGCATGAAATTCAAGTTATACTAAAGTAAAGCTTAAGATCTTTTCGTTTTCTTTGTGAAAAGCTTTTTTATCTTACATAAAAAGTTGAGATATACAAACGAGAGAAAATTTTCAAAACCTACCTTAAGGTGCGGCCTATTGAGCAATTCCTGCAACTCCAACAGATCCCTGTAATCGACATCGCGCCTGTGCTCAAGCTCCCGGAGAGCTTCCAAAGCTTCGCGTTGTTTGTGAACGGCGTCGTTCGGCGGACTACGTGCAGGTGGTGCTACTTTACTGGATATCCGATCATAAAGCTGAGGAAAATCAAAAATATCATATATTTTTTAATCCGGTAAAGTGATAAATTATATCTTTTTTATTTCTTTTTATAAATTATTTACCAATAAACCGATAATGGCGGCAAAATCGGTCACGAAGGACGTTTGGGTCAGCAACTCCTTGTGATATGTCTTTTTCACCATTTTCATTTCTCACACAGAACCAACTGACCGGGAAAACGTGACCGAATTGCAACAGCGCATTTTTATTGAACAAATAAGAAGCCACGTGCTCGCGGCTTCTTTTTCGAGCGGCATTTTGATTATTTGTGGGGGAAAAAATTGATTTTCCCGGTACGAAAGCCGCAAGCTCTCGCGACCGACTACAACAGCTGATTTACCAACAGCGCGCGCGCCAAAAAGCCCTACCTACCTCTAGAAACGAATGAAGGCGGACGTCCTCCAACAATGCCAAAATGTGCGCGCGTTCTTCTGGTCTCGATTCTTGCAAACAGCTGATATCATCCAAAGAGTCAACGATCTGTTGAACAGCTAAAACGAAAGAAATCAATAAAATCTAAATAAATATTATTAAAATAAAATTTTAATTAACTTTAAATTTTTAAATTAATGTAAGCATGAATACAGAAGAGCTTTTCAGTTTCAACATCACCACACACACAAAATAATAATAAAAAAGGGAATTTTACGATACGACGAGGTAAAATGAGAAGGATCGTATAAAAGCCATTAGCAATGTAAGACCCTGGTCCCTTATAATCAAGACTTGGTAATGGCCCCGTCGTGCTTTCGTTGACGGTATCGCGTGAACGCCTCGTGAAAGTTTCACCCGAGCAGAGCATAAATTCAACTGCCACCGAAAGTGGCCCCTTTATATTATAGAAACGGGGTTCTCTAGGAGCTGTCGTTCATAAAGTACACGAACCCAACCCTGAACCTTCAAGTCTTAGCGACTTTCAATACGCTCAAATAGTTCAGAGTTGAAATTATGAGTTTTAAATTATGCACGAGAAAGGAACGCGGTATATTTTAACTTTTGAGAATGTTTCTGGAGTTAATTCTTGGAATTTTAGAAGGTGAAATGGATTGGAATTAAAATTAATCTAAAGAGCTTTTAAAAAATTATGCTCCAACACACTTGGTGGATTAATATAGAATGAAAGAAATATATTTGTGTAATTTAAAAGTATCACAAAAACAATAAATTGAAATTCGTTACATTCACCACTTGGACAGGCGCCAAGAAGTTTTCGAGGCTCGATTTTAGAAGTTCCCTGGTAATATTGGGTAACATTTAAGTGGTTCATTTTCAACGCGATCGATGCCAATCAACTACCAACGAATCTCAGTGGATAGAAAAGCTTTTTGTTTTAGTTTGCGATTTGAAACTTTATTGCTGAGAGTTAAAAATTCGACTGTTTAAAATTTGCTTGAAAATGATTCCTTTTTAGTATTGGTTAGAAAGTTTAAATAAAATATGTTAAAAAAAAACTTACCTGAAGATGAAATTTCGTCATCACCGAAATCGGAGTAACTATCGACGATGGAATCATCGAAAGGACACCATTTTTTTGAATTAACTGCGCTAAGAATAACTGATTTTAATTTTCTAAACGAGTTGAATTTTTTTAGTTCTTCAACGGTGTCGCCGAGATGAATTCGAAGTCCCTTATCTCTGTCCTAAATATATATTTATGATTATTAGATTAATTAGAAATAAAAAAATTAAGAACTTACTCTTAACCATTTATGATTAAGAACCTCTTCTATCGTTATCCTTTGCTTTGCATCCAAAGTTAACATTTGTCGAATCAAATCTTTCGCGCTATCGCTTATAAATTCCCAATGAGGCGAATCCATCTAAAAGTTGAATAAAAAGATTTAATTAAAAAAAAAGATAAAAAATAAATGTTGTTTTACGTGAAGCTTTCCTCTACAAATTGCTTCCATTAGTCTTCGTCCCGAACCATGAAATGGTAAAGTACCAGATAATAAGATGTGCAAGAGAACCCCGGCGGCCCATATATCCACAGCTTTTCCGTATTGTCGCATCTCGACTACTTCCGGTGCCATAAAATGAGCATAACCAACCCGACCTATTACATAAAACATAATATTTCGCGATATAAAATTATTTTTTAATGGAAAATTTTAAATTGAAAAGATTTTTTTAACAATAAATGCGCGATGTGCAACGGAGAAAATATTCTTATAAGATTTTTAATAAAAGAAATTCCTAAAGAAATATTTCGCAAGCACAGTTAAAATCGATTTTCCTTTATTACAAATCCACTACAAAGTGTTTGCCATAATAAAAGCTGATGACAAAAACAAACAGCTTTAACCATGCGGTTCATCACCGTTGATGAAAATCTAACATTCATATTCACATCACGTACACACGATGTAGCACGGATTTACGATTACAGCATGGTTTAAAATTTAAAACTTTAAAGTTAAAAGAATTTTTTTTAATTGCACATCACGAATCGGTTTATTTAATAATAATACGGTGTTTTTGCCATGCATAAAAAATAAAGACACACTAAAATATTGATGAAATGTTTTTTTAAATGAATGTGATGATGGTGAAGGCCAAGTTGTAAACACTCGAATGAAGTAATTTAAATGGGACAATTGAGGTTGATTGGTTCTAACAATCGACCAGAACGCATTCGATACTCCAATAATAGCTTAAGCTACGAATGGATGGTTTTAAAAGAAAAATATACTTATAATGATTTTTTAGTGAAGAAAGTTGCTAAAAAATCTTAGGAAATTAAATAAGTAGTTGATTATTTTTTCATTAATAATTTGAAGCCGGTCTGCGGATGTGCGAAAAGAAAGCAGCAGATCTGCCGAGTGAAGAAGCTTACCAGCTCTATCAGATTTTAAATACTCCTTCCCCAGTGGACTGAGGTTGGTCCGGTAATCCAACACTAGGCACTCTGTGTATCATTTATTATAACAAATTTTTACACACATCAACACAACAATTTAGATTTAACCAAAATGAAATACATTTCCCCAAATAATTTTTTTTATCTTAAGTTTTAATAAAAATTAAGACAAAAATTATTAAATTAAAATTGACTTACCGGTGATGTTGGTTGGATGACGATCGGAAAGTTGAATGGCAACTCCAAATCCACCTAATTTAACAGGGGCAGAATTTTCTTTGGTTTGCAAAAGCACGCAATCCGGTTTGATATCTCTATGAATGATGTCGTTTTCATGACAATATCTTAATGCTTCAAGAATTTGACGCATATAATGACTGCAAAAGAATTGTTTTTTTTTGTGGATTATGATTTTCTATACGATTTAAGTTCGAAATAAATTAAAGTTTTTAGATGGTTTCTATTTTGATGAAAAGATGAAGACTTACCTTGCTACGGCTTCGCTGTAGACAAATCCGGCTATTGCTCGTCTTACTACTTCGTAACATAAATCGTTACCATCCATACTAAAAAAAAATAAATTGTTTTAAATAACATTTTTATATAATAAAACTTAATGTATCTTACGATATTAATATATTATTATTATGACGTGCTATAATAGGTACCATATCGATATAAAAATGTTTACGACAGTTTTTATTTATTAATTTAATAATAAATGTAATCAAGAATTTACACTCTGCAAGAAGTCGGCGTTCAGAATAAAAGATGTGACCCAACCTAACCCAATCAATTTCTTTTGTAAAGCAGAATAGTTTTCCTCAAAACAACTAATAGCAGAACCATTTTGGTGGAATCTCACATTTCTACGTCACATCCGTAATCAGTTGTATCAAGAGACAAAAATGACTTATTATCAAGCTTATTTGAGTTTCTCAACCCAATTTAACCCACCCTTCTCTGGCTTCTAACTTAATAGTTGAGGTTAAAGAAGTACATATTTATTGTAAAAACGTGCTAAAAAGTAATTAAATAGAACAAAACACCTTTTCTAGGCAAATAAATGGCAAATAAACACCCCACAACATATTTATGCAGCTTTTCTTTTTGAATAACGAAAGCTCAAACGTCAGTGTGACATATCTATTTCAAAACATGATAAAACATAACTCCCTGCACAACTTCCTATTAATTTTGCCAACTTTACCATAATTTGACAGGTATTATAGAAAAAAATGAACTATACTATGAACCTCTTCCATTCTGGAATAACGTCAAAAGTGTCTATACAAAAATACTATAAAATGAAAACAACTGCAAACTCGTTCTATATATTGTCTCATCTCATAGTGCAGTTATAAAGTGCACCATGACAATTAGGTAAACAACTTGTGAAGAATGCCTGAGATTGATCTAAATTGAGATGTACCTCATCTCTAAATTAGCCAATTAGAAGAAATTGAAGACATAAAATGTGTGATGGTGATTTACATGGTAAAAAAATAAAATGTACTTACAATTCAAAAACCATATAAAGCATTCCTTCACTAGAATAAGTCTCCAATAATTCAACAATATGGGGATGTTTCAGCATATGACATATGGTGGCTTCTCTTTTCAGATCTTAAAATAGAAGAAAATGTTAAATTAAAATCATGATTGAAATTTTTTTAGTACTTGCCTTCTGTGCTTAATCCGGGGCTATTGGTAAATTTAGCAACATCAATGATTTTCACAGCAAATTGTTGTCCAGTTTGTCTGTGAATACATCTTCTCACTATACTAAATGGTCCCCTAAAAATAAAATACAAGAAATGAAGACAAAAAGATTGAGTAAAATTTATTATTATTTTGTTAAAGATAAAAGTTGAAAATAGATAGATTGAGGAATTGCTTATCTACATGATAGGTCATAAATAAAAAAATTTCTAAAATAAGATGTTTTTTATTAAAATAAAATTAAAGTTATATAATAATTACGAAACCAAAAAAAATTTAATAAAAATCACATTAAGATAGGTCGTGGATTTTAAAAAGGCTCATATACAGTACGTTTTTTTAACATGAACAACACCCACCTTCCTATTTCTTCGCATAGGTCATAGATGTCGTCGAATAATATCTCTTCTTCGGCCATCCTTAACAATCTATTACCAACAAAATAAACGCTCGCAAAAAAAATAAATATTTAAAATAAAAATCAGTACATTTTCGAAGAAAAAAATTAAATGAAATCACGTGTACTTCACAAGATCAACATAAAAATTACCAATTTCAACGTCTCCTTTTTTATTATTACAACTATCTCTTTTTTTTAATTAATTTGTTTATAAAAAAATTAAATCCCCTTGGCTTTTATGCAAACTACAATACACCCAGGTCGAAATAGTTGCCTAAATTACGGTTAAAATGGCCGGGTTGCACTTTATGCGGTCTTTAAAACCCGACACGAACCGGAAAATGTCTTAATTTTTTTATGCGTGTAATACCCGAAAGCACCAAATAAAAACGACAGTTTCGTTTATGAAAAGAACCCTTAAAATCAACGCGTTTTCGGTTTTTTTTCTTTTAAAACGCGTAGTACACACCCTGGATACGCACGCACGACTCGTACTACTACTGGTAAAAAGCGGGGCGAATACTGTCAACAGAGTAGTGACAGTTCTCTCTGCTGGCTTTCGGTTTAATATCGGACTGACCATGCGCCAAAATTTGGACCGTTTTGAATATTTACATTGGGTTATTTCATTTTTGTTTATTTTAAAATAGAGATTAAATAATTGTATTAATATCTAGTTGTTGAATAAAAACAAAAATAAAACAAATGATAAAATAAATGATAAAACAATTTGAATGACCAACTAGATAGTTTTTTTTTGGGTTAATAAAACCATTAAGCCTATAATTTAGCTGACGACCAGGTGCTAGTAGCCCAGGACGCAGAACACCTTGAATATATTGCAAGAAAATGAATCGAAGTATACGATAAATGTAGCAAAAACACAGTATCTTTGCGTGGGCGGAGAAACAAAAGATCTGGTGCTAAATGATAACACCTTAATTAAGATATGCCAAGAATGCTCTTATCTTGGAACTGAGATGGACCACAAGATGTGACGCAGAAATACGAAGCCGACTACAACGGGGCAAAAACATAACAAAAGCCATAAACTACCTTTTTTGGTCAAAAAAGATCTCAAAAAAGAAAACAACAACCTCATCCCCGTGGCGCTATACGGATGCGAAATCTGGCAATTAAATAAACAAATGGAGAACTAGCTGCTGGCAGATGTAACGGATTTCTGGAGAAGAGCAACTGGCAAGTCCAAAGTAGACACCTCCAATGCAATGCAATGGAGTCCAACAGGAAGAAGAAGTAAGGGACGCCCAAAAACGAGATAGGATTTGGAGATAAAGAAGGCGATGTCTGAAAGGCACCAGGGAACTGGGAGGACTGCAAAAGCTGGAGATTTGCAATTGGAAGGCGGAAAAAGCTATAAACCGAAATTATATATTATATATATATAAAACCATTAAAAATTCAAGAAGGCAATATTTTTTATTATTATTAATCATTAATATCAACAAAAATAACATCTACAAGAGAATGAGATAAATATGAAAAGGATAAAGTGAGTTTTTCCTAAAAAAGGCATTTTCTTTCGATATTCTTGACACAGTGCTAGATTAAGAAACAAAAATATGCCAAAAACATTCTTATAGTTACTCAATACGAAGAAGATTATTGCGTTACTATTCGTTTTCTCTTTTCTTGTTACCGTTACATTTTTTAATTTAATCGATTTAAATTAAAATTCGTAAGCTTGCAGTCCTATAACAATTTTAATGTACCAGAAATGGTATTTACGACGTTCTCATGGCCGAATAAGCCCAATACTGTTATAGATCCCGGTTCTATTTGTGTATAACCAGCATCTTGTACTAAATAGGAATGTATTTTGTTGTCGTTGGCTAATTTATAAAGATCTAAGAGGTGTTGGCTCGTTTCACCTTTAACTACAACTTTTTTTTCGCTAAAAAATTAAAATTAAATAGTTTTTAATTCAAATACGATTTTTATAATTTAATTAACGTACCCAAAATTTTCCCATTCCTGTAAATCCTTAACAACACTATTATCATCAACCAAACTTTTATAAAGTCCTAAAGTTGCATGACCTACTTGGGCAGCCACTTTTCCCACGCCCATCCCTAGTGATGTATTCACCACAAAAACCATTTTACATCGTGTCCCCACTGCAAATTCTACTTCTTCCTCATCCTCAACATCAACAGTTTGATGACCATGAGTCTCTCGAACATCATCGTTGTACAACGAAAATGAAGCTTCATCTATATCCGGATTATCAAAATAAAATGCAGCTGCAGCGTCAGCGGAACTATTTCCTGTATAATACAGAGCCTACAAAGACGTACACAGCGATTAATAACCACTTTTCGAGTCCATTTCTAGGTTAGGATTTTTTTGTTTTATGATTACTTACAAGTTCCCCAGCTCGCTTCGGAATTCCCATTGTAATTAAACATTCTAAAATCTCCTCGTTCGGTTTGAACTCGTTTTCTGATTGTACGCTCATATTTGGAGTAGTTTTTTAATTAGATTGAAATAAAATGATTGATTAGTTTTAAACATAACCTAGAAATTTTGAGACTGTCATCGACCATACTGCGAAATTAAGGTGGTGGGGGTTACGTAATTGTAACGAAAATCAATAGATGGAGTTCATTTTGACAATTGCCAAAAAAAGGTAAACATAACCTCAATTTATCAAAATAAAAATTAATGAAACACTCAAAGAAGGATAAAAAAGATGATGGTGAGAAAAAACATCGCAAGAAATCTAAAAAACATAAAAAATCTAAATCTAAAAAAGGTGATATAAAAAAATCTGGCGAAGATGAATCATTTGATGTTCCTTTATCGTTAATGACATCACAAATCGTAACTCCGATTACCAAAGAAGAATGGGAAAAGAAACAAAGTGTTACAAAAAGAGTTTTTGATGAAACTACAGGAAGATATCGACTTATTAAAGGTGATGGAGAAGTTATTGAGGAGATTGTAAGCAAAGAACGGCATAAAGAGATTAATCAACAAGCAACAAAAGGAGATGGAAATTATTTTCAAAAAGAAATAAATAAATAATTAATTAATAATAAACAATTTGAAGAAATTTTATTGAATTAAGGATACTTGAGAAAAGTAAAAAAAAATATATATATATATATAGTTATAACAAAACTCAATAGATGGAGTAAAATATAACCATATTTAAATCTTAATTTTATTATTTATAATTACACCCTTAAAACTAAAAATATAGACAGCAGAAAACTTAAAATAATTGTATGAAAAACGTTGTTGATCCATCTCTCCAAGATGGATCATCAACAACTTTAGCCCGACAAAGTGGACAAGTTTGTTCGCGATCAAACCAAGTCAAAACACAACTTTCACAGAAAATGTGTCTACAATGTAATAAAATAGGTGAATCATATTCGTCATGACAAATTGGACAATGATCTCCTGCTGTTTGAATTTGTTCTTTACTTGGTGAAGAACCGATAGTCTAAAAATTAATTTTAATAAAAAAATTAAGAAATAAAGCCAAAGTAATACTTACTACGTTTTGAAGTAACTTTAAAACTGCATTTTTAAAAAGTTTTAATTTAGACATTAAATCACGTCCTTTTGACACCATATAAGCTGCAGCTAAGAACACACCAACGATTTTCTCTGGGCCTTCATAAGACTCGAGAATATAAAATAACCATGGTTGGATTGGGGCTAAGCTTCTATAAAGTTGTGAAATTGCTTCTATGAATAAATATGTTTTACCCTGTAATTAACAAAATAATTATTTAAGAAAAATAATAATAAAATAATTACCCTTTTTTGAAATGCAATGATTTTATGTGGCATTAATGTAACAAAAATCTTAACAACAACTGTGATTAGTTTTAAAATGAAATCGGTAACACCAACAATCCATAATAAATCCCAAACTTTTAATGAACTTTCATAAGTTCTTATAAAAATAAGATTAAGATATAATTTTGAGCAACCGAACTGATAATATATAAAAACGATAGCACAAACAATATATAATAAAGCTAAAAGTAGCTTTGAATAATTCTTTCGAGTTTTTTTTGTAGCTTCTTTTTTAACAACAGAGTTGGCATGAGTAAATGTAGTTAAAAGTACAATAACATTTAAAATTCCTTCATGATGATCATATAAACCTTTTGCAAATAAAATTAATACAAAAGGAATATACTTTTGTAAGATTTTTGTACATTGTCTAGCTTCTAACATATTTTGCAGTCTTTCGGTTGCAGAAACATGATCCACCGCTTCCACATTATTCACTTCTTCTGGTTCTGGATTAATATTATTTGTCGTTGCTGCAGCGTCAACCGGTGATGTTCCCAAATTATCATCATCTTCAACGTTTATCACAAAACTCTGGCTCATTGTAGGTCCATTAATATGCGAAATATTCGGTTCTGATAAAGTATTTGTTCCTATTAGATGAGTTACGTTAAAATAATTGGGTAAAACCCTTTGAAATCGCGTTGCAACGTGATCAAAAGTATCCGAGGATTGGCTTCTAATTAACGGGGATGGATTATTTTGATTTTCCATTAAGGAAAAACACTAAGCAACGATGAATTTTATCACATTCGAACACTGAACGAGGTGAAATAATATGGAAAAGGTTTTGCTATGACTTTACGTTTGACACATGACGTTTTAAATGTCAAAAAAATGTTATCAGGTTATGATTTGCGTTTCTGAACAAAGGTTAATTTTCAATTTTTAATTATTAATGAATATTAAACGGAATTAATTTGAATTAATTTTTGATTAAAATTAATGATTAATTTTTAATAATTGTATTTAAATTAACGATTTGGATGTTGTATGAATGAGAATTTAAGTAATGTGTGCTAGATGGGCTAGATGGCGGTGGTGAATTTTAAATGAAATTTGATTAATAATTTATTTAATGTAATTGTAACATACAATGTTGTAATAATAACGTTTATAAATGTTATGTAATTAATTTACTTAAAAAAGGATTGTATAAAACCAGGAGAGGATTTCACATAACCTAAAAGACAAATTTGACATATCTGATAAGATAGTATGTCAAAACTAATATAAATATACGACTTAAATCTGTTTAAAACTTAATTTTAGTTAAAAGTATAGATACTATGGCTTTACCGGAAAATACGTCTCAAGAGAAACCCCCTAATGAACCGCAAAAACATGAAAAACGTGAAAAACCATCTACAAAAGTGATCGTTCGAAGATTACCCCCTTCAATGACTTTGGAAGAATTTCAAACGCAAGTATCTCCGCTTCCTGATTACGATTATATGTATACAGTAAAAGGTGATATGTCTTTGGGAGAAAATTCATTTTCCCGTGTTTATATTAATTTTTGTAACACAGAAGATATTTTTATGTTTAAAGAAAAATTTGATAATTACGTTTTTGTTGATGGGAAAGGTCATGAATACGCCGCAGTTGTAGAATTTGCCTCATTTCAAAAAATTCCCAAAAAACGAGGCAAACCTAGACCCGATCCTAAATTAGCAACAATCGAATCTGACCCAACATATATAGACTTTGTTGAATCTTTAAAAAGACAACCTAATCAAGATGAGAAAGTTGAATTTTCTTATCAACCCTCTGCAGATAATAAAAACGATGGTAGCACACCTTTATTAGATTATATAAAGCAAAGAAAATTGGATAGATTAAAATCGAGGGAAGAGAAACGCGAAGAACGACGCCGCCGCGAAATAGAAAGAAAAAAAATTCGTGAAGAAGAAAAAAGGAAACGATTTGAAGAAAATTCCCCAGGAAAAGCTGTTACTATAAAACAGAGCAAAACTGATTTAGAGAAAATCCCCGAAGAAAAGAAAAATAAAGAAGAAGAAAAAGCACCTGAAAAAACCACATTTAAAACGAAGGATTTTAAAGTTCCAAATAAAACTAAACCAAAATACAATAAATTTGAATATGAAAAACGTGATTATAAATCGCGAACTGGTTATAATCGTCATTATGATGATACTAGGAAAAGAGATGAATCCAAAAAAGGTGGTTCAAAAGAAACTGATGAACAGAAACCACCCACTTCGGCTAAAAAGGGAAAAAAATATAGTGAGAGAAGAGAAGAACGAAAAATGGAAGTAAAAAAAGCAGAAGCTGAAAAAGAGGGAATTTCAACTGAAGAAACAATAAAAAAAGATGTTGAAGAAAAAGGGAAAGATAAAGAAGAGAAGGTAACAGAAGAAGATAAAACTGAAGAAAAGAAAGAAGATAAAGAAAAAAAATTGGAAAAGAGAAGTGTAAAAGATGAAAAAGAAGAAAGGAGTGACGATCAAGATAAAGTTAAAAATAAAGAAAATGATCCCAGAGTTCAAAGAAGAATTAGAAATAAAGATCGCCCAACTATGCAATTATACCAACCTGGAATGTTATCAAAAAGAAGACAACAAGAAGATGACAAAGATGTTAAAGAAGTCAAAGATGTAAAAGAAAATAAAGATGTGAAAGAAATTAAAGATGTTAAAGAAGTGAAAGATATCAAAGAACAAAATAAGGATTTAAATTAAATACATTTTAGATTAAAAAATTATTAATTTAATAAGAGATTATATGTTTAAAATAAAGCATTTTTCTTTGTGAGGTTACATAATTATTTTTTCTTGAGAATGGGAGCACGAACACCCATTAATAAACATAATTCGTTCCTTACAAGTCTTAACTCTTCCACATTTCCCTCCCAATCTGTAGAACTCAAAACGTTCATCACCTGCTCTAAGTTGTCTTCAGGAATTATGCTCATATCGCCGTAAACTAATAACGATTCATAAAGTTTTGTTGATGTTGACCTTCTTATATATGGTTGACGATGACATAATAATATTGAAAGTTGAACTAAAGCATTTCCACAAATTTCGGAGTTAATCTAAAAAAATGATTTAATAAATGAAAATGGGTTTAAAATTATTTTTATTTTACCTGTAAGTATTGGCAAAGTAAAGAAATTCCATCAATAAGTTTATAAATGTCTTTACAACCATTAATTTCCATTTGGACCAGTTTAAAAATTTTCTTTGGAAACTCCCATTCGCAATTTTCTAATAAATTTGTTAAACAATTCGAACTGAACAATTTATCCAAAAATCTAAACATGGGCACAATAATACGATCGTTTCTTTGATAATTCATAAATATTTTTAAAATTATATCACATAAATGAGAAATATCTTGATCGCCCGCCGAATGTCTCGTTTTAATTTCATGCAATTTTTCAAAAAATGAAGCGCTTGAATTTTTAACCAAAGTTTCAGTTAATCCTCCAATGCTGCTTATTAATCCTAAAGTAACGTTGTATTTATATTCTTCCAACTCTAATAGTTGTACAAATAAAGGAAAAGTTGATTTAGCCGAGTTCCAATTTAAACTATTACATCTCTCCTCAGAAAAAATCTTTTTTAAATCATCCAAAGATGATACATGCGGTACTTTTGGTTCGTTATAAATTAATCTGTAAAAAATCTGTGCTGCTAAAGCTCTAGTTCGATCTATTTTTTCAACAGATTGTTGTGCAATACCCGTTAAAATTTTTGAAACTAAATCGGGAGTTAAATAATCATTTTTCGACAATAAAGTCAACGTTTCTAACCCCATCATCGAAGCTTCACGAACCCAAGCGCCAATATCACCACGATTATCCTGAGTGTACTCATTTAATCCCAACAAAAAACACTCAAAAATTTGTGTCACAAACTCGAAATCATTTCCATCTTCTTTTAATGTAACACAAATCGATGTTAACGCTTTTATCGAATCTCGACGACTTTCAGCCCATTTCGCCGTCGCCGGAGTAATTAGTGTCGACTCAATTAACGCTTTGATTATTTCTTGATAATATTGTTTAACAATGAAGAAAGGAAGAACCCCTAAAGCTAAGGAATGGCCCATTCTGGATACTTGGGTGCAACTTGGTGATAAAATCTCGTTTATATAAGTTTTTACGACGTTTTCAATCGGTCTTTCTTGGTAATATTCTTTGAAAAGCGCTGGTAATGCTTCTATTGATGTCGTTCTAACAATTGGAACGTCGTATGAAAGACATGTGTTTAGAAGAGATAACCAATCATCTAAAAAATATATTTAATAATTAGTAGTTTTAGATTACATAAAAACTATTTTTTATTGTATTTGTGTAAATTATAATTAACAATGGCAATGAAAGCCTTTATACTTATAGTATTTTAAGATATAACTCAAAATTTTACAAAACCTTGCTTTCACTGCAACATACTTCACAACTTACCAATAATCTTGAATTGATGGAAAGGTAATTTAGCCATAGAACATTTTTGTATAAATTTAGAACAAGCTTGTTTCATTAATTCGCCACCCAACCCCCGGAAATAAAACCGCTCAGAATACAACCCAATTAAATTTTGAGCTTCAATAAGTTCTTCTTCTTCGACAATCTGATTAATTTTGCAACCTTTTTCTTCGGCAACTAACGCCAAAGCATGAAAAATTTCACCAATTGCCAAAACAGAGCCGTGTCTACAATGTAAATCGATACTTTTGGCTTTCTCAAAAAGTTTTTTCAAGACGTTATTAGCCATATATTCGGGAGCTTTAAATGTTAGGTTGTGTAAACTTTTCGAAGTTAATTCTCTTATGGCGATATCCCAATGATCAACTTTTCGCTCTAATAAATGATCGATTAAAGGCGTCGTGTACTCGTCAAATTGAGCTATGTAAACGCTTATATTTAGATAAGCATTATTTCTTATGCTAATCGCGAAAAAATCGGCCGTTATTATAATATCAATACCGTGAGGAAAAGTTCCTTGTCTACCAACATTTTCTTGAAAAGCAGCTGATGCAGCTCTTCTACAATTAATCTAAAACAACATTTTGATTCTTTATTTTTATAGTTTGAATTAATTACTTAATTACTTCTCTATCGAAACACGCAACGATTAATAAAGCTCCAGCAATCTCATTAACGTAAGGTTTCAAAATTTCAGTTTCATAAGCTCTAGCAAAAGACCAACAAACGTAACACGCTGCATCTCGAATATGAGAACCAACGGAAGAATATCCGCGCGGTTCATCATAAACTAAAGCCTTTTTAATAACCGTAACAACTTCCGGTAATCGTTCAGGTAATAAAAGCCCTCTTCTTCCCAACTCTGCTAAAGCCAAACATCCACCATGCCAACTACTATCAGTTTCGCGAGGATTAAACAACTCTAAGACAGATCCAACAACTTCATCAGCAAGTTCTTTTGATAAACGAGAAGTTACCCTTCCTACACCTTTCGCAGCTGACCATCTAACTATAGAATCTTCAGCCCCAAGTCCTTGAATTAATTGATCAATTATTTCTTCAATTTCATCAGGAACATCAATTTCTTCCGGAGTCGTTTCAATTAAATTGGTGGATTGTTGGGGAATAATATCCGTTTTAGCATCTCCCGCGCTTAAATTTGCGGTTAATGATCGATTGCCTCGTTGATAACGCCAACTTGCGATACGAGGTGGCAAAAAAATTAATCCGATGCGTTGGACGATTTTATAAACTAATTTATGAACGTCACTTCCGGAATTTAAACGGAAATGATCACCAATTATCCAATCGAGTAAGTCGCGTGCCAAAGGAAGAAGATCTTCGCGCTTTCCATGTTTTATTACCATAGCAACGCAAGATGAAACACCATATTTAAGGAAAACTGTACTTGAAGGATTTGAGCTCAAATTTCTGGCCCAATCGAGAAATTGTTTTAAATGGATTTGTTTTACATCCGTTCTAAAAAAGAAAATAATTAGTTTATAATTTAAATTTGTAATGTGTCATAAATATGATAGATGGCGACACTTTAAAATGTTTTAAACGTCAAATTTTACCGGGAAAATCAAATTAATTTCTAACCTCAATTTGGTTATTCTGATATTGGACGAATAAATGATATATTTAAAACATTATTAACATAATTCTCACCTAGTTAAAAATTTTGATGCTAAAAAAGCTGCTGCATCTCTACATTTATCACTAACAATAGCATAAGTTTTACATAAATCTAAAACTCGTATCATAGCAGTTTTTCCTTCAACATTTTGTTCGTTTTCATAAAATCCATCTAATCTAGACAGATGAAAAGGGATCATAACAATAATTGATAACCATAAAAGTAAAACATATCTCGTCATCCATGTTTTGGTATCTTCAGGATTTTGTTGTTCTAATAATCTTAAAACGGGCTCAAAATCGGCTACTTCGTGAGGCAAGTGTCGCACAATCACTTTATATCCGCGTACGTTTATTAAAATATACATATAATTAAAAACTTGATGTTTTAATTTCATGTTATTATCCGGGGATCTGATGATTTTGATCATTTTTTCCAAGATCTCATCTAAATAAGAATCTAAAAGGTGTGGTTGTTCATGATATTGTTTTAAAATATCCAAAAATCTTTGTTCAGCTCTTTCAATAATTGATTCCTCCGAATTTATTATTATGTTGAGGTTATCGATCATCGAACACACCTCTTGGTGCTCAGCAAACAGTTCAAGAGCACAACCCAAACCAAAAACGTCCTCATCTTTATGTATTTCTTCTTTTAGTTCACTTCTAGACATTTCTTTATAACAATATAAATTGTTGATATTGAGGATGAAAACTTCTTGGGTATATTGACGGTTTTTTGACAATCTGTTGGAAATTGAGGTTATAAATCAGATTTGGGGCAAGTTATGTATACATTTTTTTGCATTACATATCGAGGATAGAATAAATTTTTCGAAAATACCTTAATAATTGTTTAAAAAGGCACAAAGTTTACCCACACACTAAGTTTTTGAAAGTAATTTGTAATGAGTCATAAATATGATAGATGGCGACACTTTAAAATGTTTTAAATGTCAAATTTTACCGGGAAAATCAAATTAATTTCTAACCTCAATTTGGTAATCCTGATATTGGCAAACTCTTGGTCTAAGACGAATAAATGATATATTTAAAACATTATTAACATAATGATTTTTAGGAACTCTTTGAAATTGAATTCAATAGTTTTATATCTTCAAAAATAACCAGTGATGAAGTAAGGCAATACTAGTCAATGTTTTATTGTATGAGTAAAGAGGATGAGGGTGATGGAAATTAAAGTCTTGAGATCTCTGTTGAATATAAAACTGCAAGATAGGCAGACTAACACCTCTATCAGAGAAAGATATAACATACAAGCTGTAGTAAAATGGACAAAAGTAAGAAAGAAAAGGTGGAAAGAGCATGTGGAAAGAATAGATGAGAGGAAATTGGCCAGAATATGCATGTGTGGACGACCGAAAGGAAAAACACTACAACTGGGCACAGAGTTGGCTCTCCTCATCTGCAGAGTCCAAACATGAGGCTTAACAAACAGGGATGCATCCCTAGTCAAAAGTAGAAGAAGAAAACGTGTCCAGAGAAGACCATCAATTTCTGGAAAATATCTGGCATTTTGTTATTTGGCTGCAACAACCAGTTGTTGAGCAATCTAAATTTTGTATGGAAACAGATCTAAGTTCAAAATTCTTGGAAGTTGGTAGTTATGGTTCCTCCTCCACATATCCCTCACAGCTTGGATGTTCTCAAGTAACCAACTTGTTCGAGTTTTGATAGAATGATCATTTTTTAAACCTCAATTTTCATATATATTATTTTAAATACCAATTCTATTAAAGTTCAAAGTGTCACGTTTCAAAATATCAACATAAAGGATTTTGTAACGTGATTCTAAACACCTTATATAAAGTTATTTTATTAAATTTCTTTTTATAAAAAAAATAACATTAAAAAATAGTTTGAATAGCCAAATAGTTTTATGGCACCATTAAAAAATCACAAAACGATTTAAATCTTATATAAACTAAATAAATTTCGATGTTATTTCAGTTAAATATATTTTTTAACCCAAAATGTTGATTTTGTTCCCAATTTTCGTTTTTATTACAACAATTGAGTCAAAATTTATTTGCGGCGACGGAAATGAAATTTTAAAAAGCCAAATTTGCGATGGTACCATCGATTGTTTGAATAGAAACGACGAAAATGTTGAATTGTGTTCTCAAATTAAGTAAAAATTATTTTATTATTAACTATTTTAGTGTAATAATTATTTTTAGATGCGAAAATGATCATTTTCAATGTAAATATGGGGCATGTATTAAAAAATCGTTTAGGTGTAATCAAAAAATCGATTGTCTGGATGGTTCTGATGAGATTAATTGTAATTTAACTCAAATTGGGTAAACTTTTATTAATTTTTTTATAATTATTTTTTTTAATTATCGTTTCTAGATTAAACGATTTTTTATGTTTAAACCAAAAAGTTATCCCAAACTCGTTAATTTGTAACAATTTCGATGATTGTGGTGATAATTCCGATGAAAATTTCTCAGTTTGCGCTCCAAATTTGTGCGATTTGAACGAATTTCGGTGTAAATCCGGGAATTGCGTAAAAAATTCTTTAATTTGTGATGGTTTCCCGGATTGTTTCGATGGATCGGATGAGTTTAGGTCAATTTGTGATTTATTTGAATTAAGAAATACAAATTCGATAAAATGTTCGGGTTTAAAACTTTTCGGTGTTGATTTAAAATGTAAAGATGAGAAAAATGATTGCGATTTTGAACAAGAAATTGGGACGATTTCTGAAGGGGGATGTAAAGAGTTTTACGAGGGTGTTGAAAAAATCGATAAATCTAAAGCTGTTTGTCAATTTGATGGGCGATGGAATTCGGAACATGTTAAATGTAAACCAAGTAAGTTATCTTACTTTAAATTTAAAAATCACGTTTTATAATTATTTAATTATAGTTTGTGGTACTAAATCGCCCGCTCTTCCATTAATTTCATCGGGATTTTCAATTGAAAATTGGCCGTGGTTCGTTGGTTTATACTCTTTGGAGACATCGGAAACTAATTTCTTTTGTGGGGGAACTTTAATTTCAGAGAAAATCGTTTTAACAGCCGCTCATTGCGTTTGGAAAAAATCCCCGGAGGATATTTTAGCTGTTCTTGGAAAATACAAAGTGGACCTAGCCATAAACGAACCGAATTCGCAACAAAGAAACATTGAAAAAATCATATTGCATCCGAATTATTACGATATCGAGACGAATTACGCGTCAGATATATCAATTTTATATTTAAAAACATTCGTAAATATCAATGAATTTATAAAACCAATTTGTATCGATTGGTTTAATCGGTTTCATAAAAATGTTTTTGATAAAAACTTAATGGGGACAGTTGTTGGAATGGGTTTAACCGAAAATGATACTTTTGCTTCACATTTATTAGCAACAAATCTTCCTATAGTTACCGTTAAAGATTGTATGATTAATGAAAAGAAAGATTTTCACAAATATATCACTTCAACTACATTTTGCGCTGGATTTTTAAACGGAACTGGAGTTTGTAATGGTGATAGTGGTGGTGGGTTGGCTATTTTTAACGATGGGAAATGGTTTTTAGAAGGTTTGGTGAGCATAAGTCCGAGGAAAAGTGGAAAAGCCGTTTGCGATACTAACAAATATACGATTTTTACCAAAATTTCATCATTTTTAGATTGGATTAAAGAAGTTGTTCCACCTGAAATGTTATTTTAATGAGATTTTAGAATAAATTTATTAACAGCAAAGTTATTGGTTATTATTTGAGCTTGTACAATTTATGGCCCATCTTCAACTTCCTCATTCTTGACTGTTTTTAGATTTAAATAGATTAAAGTGTTCCACTTCATATAGCTGTAATCAAACACCCTTGGTTAATAAACATTTAGTATACAAACTATACAACACAGTAATAATAACAGTTTAGTAACACAAGGTAAAAATAAATAAAAATATTTTTTTTATAAAAAAGAAACATTTTTAATTCAAGTACATATTTACAATAGTAGGTGATAAAAGCATTTTTAATTTTTATACATATTTTTTATTTTGTTGATCGAGAAACTAAATCGCAAATACAAAAAAAAATAAAAACAATTTATACAGCGATTTTTTCTCTTTAACATTTTTAACAAAATCAATATATTTAATTTATAAAAATATCTTCAAAAGAAATCCGAATTCGAAATATTTATGAAATTTTTTTTTGGTTTAAGTATTTATTCATTTATTTTTTTGGTCAAAATGGTTTTTTAGTTCTCAAAATGATTCCAATATCATGTACTATAAATACGTTTTTTATTCATCTTTTCTGTTTTTTTTTTTCATTAAATATACAGCTACACTCTTATAAAGAGTACTTTTTTTTGAAATATACGTTTGTTTTTATAAATAATGTTCGATAAGAACTTTTTATTACAATTTTCAACGTTGGCTTTTGTTTAAATCCTGTTTAAAGCGCTTTTTTTGCTTATTATAATAACATCATAAAAAAATCGTCGATAAAAAACAAAACGAGGTAATTAACTATTATTTTAAAAAAATTTTGTTATTAAATGTTAATTTTTTTGTTGTTCACACCAGTTTTTATTTTAAATTTCTTTTCCTGAGAATGCAATATTCAATTTAATTATTGATGTGAACTTGAAATATTTTATTGATTTTGAATTTAATTTATTGGCACAGCTCATATTTTTCTTCCCTCTTCTTCTTTGTTAGCACAAAGGTTTAAAATAATCCAAAATTTAAACCCAGATGACTAAATAAAATCTACAAACATAAAAATTTACAGAATAAATTAAGATTTGGGTCATCAGGATGTTACCAAAAAAACAAAAACTAAATATTGTAACCATCAACATAGTTTTTTAACCATAATTTTTATTATTTTTTTTAATTTAATTATTATTATTCTCTTTCTAGGTTTAGAATTAAACAGTACAAAAAATATACAACAATTAACTGCTTATGTGTGTGTAACTTTTTTTATACTTTTTGTGTTGTTGTAGTGTAAATGTGAATATTCTTAACATGAGAAAAAGAAAATAATAATAATGAGATATGTTATCAATATCAGGAAGTGTATGCAATTTGTTTAATTGTATGTATTTAAAATAAATGTTACTTTTCTGATTCATCTTTAAGGAGAAAATAATATTGTACTGCTACATTTACCAGTGAAATCATTAATTTTAGGTTAACATTAAATAGAGTAATTACGATTATTACTTTTAAAATAGTTGTTAACGGAAACTCTTTCACAAAACATCAATAAATGTAGCAAATACAATTATTTAACGAATTTTCTTTGTAAAAAAAAGATAAAAATAAAAGAAAAAATACCGTTTCATATTATTATTGTTACATTATTACAAATCTACGAAAGCGAGACAACATTATTTTGAAATATTGTACATGTAAATTCACATCACAGACTTCAGCAAAACTTACAAAATACCGAACAAAAAAATAATCACCACCCCTCCCTTTTTCATTTTAAATTCAAGTGGAGGAATGGCGGGAGAAGAAGGAGGGGGGATACAAACTACCTTCTTTCCACATTATTTATTTTTCTCTTTAACCGTTTTCTTTCTTTTTTTCTAATCATTCGAATGAGAAATAACGACTTAAAAAAACATTCTCATTGTGAAGACAAAACAAAAAAGGAAATAATAAACCTAACTTAAATCCTTACACTACTTTTTTCTTGTATTCTTTTTCGTGTTGAAACAAAAAAAAATGAACGGAACCAGCCCAATGTACACAAATTTTATACAAACTTACCAAACTATACGAAAAAAATCTGTGTTTTTTAATTAACCTATCTTTTAAACCGATCCGATTTCGTCGTTCGTTCCATATCAACCCATTCGGGATCGTTGGGATCTTCATCGCCATAGGCCGACTCCGTCGATTCGCTATCGTGACTCTTGTCATCCTCAAGGTTAACCTCATTACATCCCGCACTACTACTACCACCAACCGCCGTTGACGTAACACTACCAATCGCCGCAGTGGTCGTCGTCGTTGATAAAATTTCGTCCGAATCTCGTGCTCGATAATTCGTTTTAAACTTATGATTCTCGTTTCCCAACATTTTCTCAAGCATTTCATCAGTCAATGGAAAACATCTCCTTTCATATGGATTCACCTCAAAATGTTCGACGGGGGTCCCACATCTCGTAAAATCCTCACATCTTCCTTCAACTCCTAACCTATCCTTTCCAAATTTTGATTGCGAAATCGTTCTACGACGCAAAGCGGCACTGGATGAAGTGTTTGAATTGTCGTCCGTCGTTACAGAAAGTGGCGTTGCCGGCGGTGAAGTGATTGGTGAGGGCAGATTTAAATTAAAATTGTTTTCAGAGTTGATGGTTGGGGGATCGATTATGTTATTTGAGATAATGGTATTATTATTTGGAGTGGATGCGTTATTATGGAGGTGAGGACCGGACGCAGCGATGGCGGGTGTGGCATGAGGAGACATGGGGTCAGGAGTATTCGCCCCCGAAGATTCGGCTCGGCTATCGGTTCTTTTATGGGAACGCGAACGCCCGTAACCTAGCGGTAGTTTAAGATAGCTGAGGAACTTTTTCTTTTCGTCGTACTCGCACCTATCATGACGAACAATGACCGCTTCATCTGATAGATCTTCTTCGATCTACAAAAAAATTAATAATAATAATTCAATATTAAAAAATAAGTAATCGACGTACATCACCGCCACTATCTGGTTGTTGACTAGGATTTTTTACGGCTCCATTATTTTTTTCACTAGATGGCGTCGTCGTTGGTGGCGTCGTCGTTTTCTCACTATTTTCCGTCACCTCAACAACTCTCCACCTTAAAAAATGATTATTTAGTTATTTAAGTATATATTATTAAAATTATTAATCTCACTTGGGCGTTAATATTTCCTTGTACTGTAATTTTTCGACACGTGTCGAAGCGGCAACACTATATGGTATAACGATGTTATCGATATCGTACGAATCGACGCGATTTCGCCGTTGAAACCCAGATATTGATTGCGTGGCAAGTAACGGAGAGGTGCTCGGCGAATCGAACTTGATCGAACCGCCCAAACTACCGAGTCCTTCCAATTCTTCGTCTTCGCAATCGCCCGACGCGCTACCCATCGACACCCGGTGCGAGTGATGTCGCTGTTTCTTGTTCAATTTGGCTAACGATTGCGAAGAACTTAAATGCCTGCAATTGTTGTTGTTGTTTCCACCTCCAGCCGACGATATCGACGTTTTCCTTCCTTTGAATTTGTTCTTTAATTCTACAATTTTTGTTATTATTACTTATCAACTAAAAAAATTAATGTTAATAATACTTACTTGCGGATAAAGCGTTTACAGTGGCAGGTTTCAATAATCGATTTGTATACTTTTTTCGATGGTCTACCTTTTTCGAACGGTGATCCACCGACGTCGCGTTTAATTTGTCATTGACACGATCCGCGCCCCCTCCTTTCGTTATGTACTTCATACCCTTGATCGTCGTTCGAGAGCTGCGTTGTTGCCAGTCGGGAGTTTTCATTATTGCCTCCAGATGAATTCCACTCGAACAATCTAATTAAAAAAACAAACCATTTTATAAATAGTCTAATAAGAACAATTTTATCCAAGAAATGAATTAAATCTGTAAAGTATGAGATATCACAGTTAAAACAGTTAATAAATGATAGAAAATACTTGCTAAACAGTAAAACAATTTATTTATTAGTTATAAATTTATTAATAAACTTTCTTATTCATTGTATTCTTCATTTTAATGGAACACAAGGCGATAAACAATCTTTTGGTAGTCCACATTGTGCAAACCAGTGCAAGCATAAAACATACGCCTTTCTATGGTGTTCTCTATATCTATTCTGTATATACTTCTAATTTGAGACAAGTTTCGATCATACAGGAGCTATTAATGTGGATTAACTGGTTATCTATTAAAACGCTGTTGTAACCTTCTTCAGAAACAAATTTAAAAGCGATTTTGCAGATTTTTATAATATCCATAATAGTAATCTAGAAAGGATTACAGAAATATAGAGCAATATTCTTCACTCTACACCTGTTCTAATCAGATTGTGTAGCACAACACTGTTATTGCAATGAATGATGTCCTAATATCACACTTTATAAACTTGACATCCTCTTATCCATTTGTAGATACCTCCTCTTTTCAATTTCCTTTTTCTGTTGTGCTTATTCATATTCTAATTAAAATAAAGTTAATTTATTGTATGTACAGTAGTCTTTTTTTGATAATATAGTCAATACACCAACATGTAACTCAACTATATCATAAATAGCTAATTTATCACAAAAATGTACTTACCAATCTGAAAAATATTAAAACTTCACACATTAAAACACTATTTATTAACGAACTGACGCAATAATCTCATAACAAACCTGAAATTTCTGCGAAGTTCCGCAATGATACTTAGCTAATATTGATCAAATCTAAATACAATCGCTTTTAACACATAAAGATGTCATTTACATAAATAAATTTGTTTTTGAAATCTTTATTTTCTTACCTTCTGGCAACGAAAACACTGGGTGAAAACTCGGATCCAACATAGCGACCTTTTCCGCTTTACTCAGATAATCAGAGGGATCGCGCGGATGCGTAGGATCAGTCCTTCCGGTACATAGGGCGCACGGAACTGCCGGTTTCGTACATCCACAACGGATCGTCGACGGTCTTGCCGCTTTCTTCGAAACGGCGTGCAATCCCGTCGTCTGAAGCAACTTCCGTTTCCGGAAATTGATCAGCGGTCGCGTCCGCGCGCACTGGTATTCCTTTTCGAGCGTCATCGCACCGTCGCCGATCGTTTGGAGGACGTCGCCCGGAAGTTGACCGCGGTAACCGTTCACAGCGGCGGCACCACCCGTTGGCGTCGTCGTTGTAGGCGATGATGGAAAGCTCGGCGGGTTTTCGTATCCGAGTTGAACGGGACCCTTCGAATGACGAATGGTTTTGTGAAGCTCGCTGTGCTGTCGTATCCGGTATTCGAGGTCCGAAATTTGCGCCTGAAGCCACGTCCATCTTGCGGCTATCGATGCTCGTTCTTGTAGATATTTCCAAGATGCTCGTTTATGTCTAACAAATATAATATAAAAAATATTAGATTTTCGATTTCTTTGTGCCTGAGTTTACAACATTTCATAAAATCATAGATTAATTATTGCAATAATGTTGTTTTCCCCGAAGATAATTTGAGTCGAAACCGGTACAAATTCAACGTAACAAATAAAATATTCGGTATGTGTGTGGAAAAATAAACAAAATACGTCACGTTTAATGTTATCTTTAATGGTAATAGACTCAGTTTAGGTTAGTCAGCAAAATTAAACAAAGAAAAACGTATTTTTACACAAATTATTTTAAATAAAACATCAAATTCCAATCAATCACATTATATGATAGACTATATTAAATTATACAGTTGATTAAAATAATGTTATATTAAAAATTGTAATTCCACAATAAATAACGTCACAGAACATTTCCAAGAAATTTATTTCATAACTCAAATATCTGTTTCATAATATAAACAACGATTTCTTTCAACCAAATCAAAAATAGTAAATAAAAGAATAAATCAGCAACAAAATAGAAATAATGATATCACCGAAACGGTACCTCCCCTTTTATTCATGCATTAAGAACAAAGATTTTATTCAGGATTTAAAAGTACTTATCAAGGTCAATAAAAAAAGTTAGATATGTTTAACGAAAAAACAACATTCATTTTATTACTCAATTCACTGCAGGTTGTTCGAATATCGATTGTAAATAAGATTCGGTTAATTGATTTGAAATATAAATTAGATGAGTCAAAGACACACAAAGAAAAAACCAAGAAGAATCGATTACGTAACATGACGGAGAAGTCCTAGAAAGCCGCATACACACACAAAAAATGGTATTCATGAAATGCACGTTAACCCAGAATAAGATATCGTTTTACAGGCCTGTGCTGGTAATTTAATGCCCCTAGTTTTTATTTACAGTGACAACCGAAAAAGAGACGAAAAAAGGGATAGGAATGAAATCGTTGAGAAAGAAGACGAGAAAATGACCGGTTAGATCTAGACAAGTTGAACTTTGCACTCCGTGGCTGTTATTTTATTTAGGTTAATTTACGGGAACTGTTTTTTAAGAGTTTTGTGAGTTTAAATTACAAATTAAAAGAAAAAAGCTTTTAATAAAAACAGAAAAAAATTTCTAATTATTTCACAAATACTGATAATACGTAAAGATATACGAAAAAAGAATCTAATTCTGTAGTATGTGTATAGGTAGATAATAAGAGAAAGTAGATGTAAAAAAAATGCTTTAAGTTAATGCAGAGTGTTGAGTAAAAAAGCTAAGATATAAAGAATATAAAGATAGAACAGATAGCTGTTTGGCGGGAAATGCTTCAAAGAAAGTTCAAAAATAGAAGACGGCTAAACCCGAATGATTCTAGTTCTAGGTTTTGTGTTAGTTCTAGTGATAGTGTAAAACTAGAACTAACACAAGACCTAGAACTAGAATCATTCGGGTTTAGCCGTTTTGACAGACGTGCGGCTAAATCCGAATGTTTCTAGTTCTCAGTCTAGTTTTAGTTTTAATTGTTAGTTAGAGTTAGATAGTGGTATATTTTTATTAAACGAAAAGTATAACAAACACCTATAACCAGAAACATTCAGGTTTAGCCATGTGTCTTACGACGACCGAAAACTCAAGGTTATCATAAGGACGTCACCTTTTTCCAAGCAAAACTTTTCCTTTGCAAAACTACCCAATGCCTGTACTATTAAGCTATGTTGCATTTTATGTGGGACAGTGTAAGTGCATAGTAGTTTGGTAACTATGGTTACTGCATTCATATATTGCGAGTTATATGAAATACCCAGTATGGATTAATAACTTCTAATTAATACCAGCTTTTCTCCTGACGATCAATTGTGGACTCATAGTCCACCGCGTGTACTGGAAAGTTAAATTAACACCAACTGTTAATCGAAAATAAATTAAATTGCGCAGAATTAAGATATACAGGGCTTACCAAAAGTAACGGATAAATTCGTTAAAACAATTAAAAACGGTTTATAGAAAAATCACTGAGACGAGTCTAAGGACTTAAATTTTTTCAAATAGCAATCCTCCATTTTTATTACGGAATATGAAAGAAGATTTTTGAAGTTGGTTTAGATATTTTATTAAGACAATGATTAATTTTTGATATCTGAAACAATTGGTTGTCATGGTTACGCATGGCTACTGCTATTTTTCTATCTCAATGAATGAAAAATGAAAATTTAAGATAATTTATCTCGAAAATTTTCTTATGTAACCAATATTAATATTGGTTGTACTAGATTCAGAAAAAAGTGCTCTTTCATATTCCGTAATAGAAATGGAGCATTGCTATTTGAAAAAAAATATCGATGACGTCATTACTCGTTTAAAAATGGCGGTAAAAATTTAAAAACTATACCAAACAATGGCAAAAAATGTAAATCTTTAGACTCGTCTCAGCGACTTTTCCATAAACTGTTCTTAATTGTTTTAACGAATTTATCCGTTATTTTTGGGAAATCCTGTATAACTTAATTATGATTTATTAATGAAAAATGATAGAAATGTGGAAAAATAAACAGTCAGCTTCTGTCGAATTTCATCTAGATCTGCATCAGCAATAAAGACGTCATGTTCTTTGATAAAAATAAAATTAATTTAGAGAAGGCATTAAAAGACTTGAACTAATGTTGGACCACGGCAAATTGAGAGAAAAGAAATTATTTTTAATGTTATTCATAACAATTAGAATTAACATCACAGTTTGGTATCCTTGCCTTTTAAGTAGCTCCTTAACTGCTTATTAAATATGTAATTATTAAACCTTTCCGTCCTAAAATTGTTCTTTATTAAATCACATAAACCTGTTATTAATAAGAAAAAGTCCAGAATGCTTTTTTTTATAATTAAATAAAGATTAAAATAGAAACATCATCATTATACAAAGATGATGCAATATTGTAAAATTCATCTTACATTTATAAATGATTTTTTTGGTTAAATTATTATATAACAACCAAAAAAATATAAAAATTAACTTACATGCTGAGGTACTGTTGGTGTGGATTATTATAGGTTTGCATTTCATCACAACTTTCACCCCCAGAACTACTGGCCGTTGCTTCTGAATCAACTTCCTGCTGTGCTAAACCCATTTCTGTGTGTAACAATCCGGCGATCCTTTGTAAATCCTGTTTATGTTGTGGAACCCACGGCGCTAAATTTGTCATACCGGAAACTCCCGGCCGAAACGAACCTGGTTCCGCCGAACCAGACCCGAAATACCGCCCGGAATGTCTTCTAGATGCCACATTAGATTGTAATAACGATGACATCTCGAGTTTTCTCACTAAATTTTTCGCGGAACTGCTCGATATTGGTTTCATTTTTTCTAAGGATTGATTTGATTCTGTAGGTTTTTCGAGATTGAGTTCGTTGTTGAGATTAACTGGGGAGTTATCTTTAAGTCGTCGTAAGGTTCGGTGGACATGTTCGAATACCCCGGCGACTTCACTACTAAAATGTTGCCCCATATGACGAATTTGCATCTTTCGTAGTCGTCTCAAAAGAAATTCCAATTTTCGTTCAACTTTTAATTGTCTCTTGTGAACCTCGGCCATTAATTCTTTGGTTTGGGTTTCTTTTGAAACCGGTTCTTCAATACTCATATTCATCACATCAACATCATTGAATAAATCACTAGAACCACCTTCCATCGATTTAATCACCTGCATGATTTCATCAACATTTTGACCGAGATCCAAATTCATTATTTGATCCATATCTTGTGTTGTAGATTTATCTTTAAGTATATTTAGACCCATTTTGTCGTCTTGGTCGCCCATAGATAGCGGACTTTGGCTCATTATATCACTAGTAATCGGTTCGATTGTGTCCACCGAGGCCCCTTTTTCTTTTAACAATAGTTCCGTTGTTGCCAAATCAAGACAATTATCCAAGACATCATGCCCATCATTACTGCTTGCCGGTGGTTCTTTTAAAAGTTTAAAATTTGGTGTTTGGTTCGGTTCCGTTAATGCTGGGGCCATGACCTCCACGTGAGGGTCCCTCACCGAGGTCGTACGTAATCCCATTCATCCAGCGTCAATGTCAATAAACTTCATATGATGATTACTTTGATCAATTAATAAAAAAGAAAAAAAATTAATTAAAATAAAATTTATTAAAAAAATTTTTTTTTGAAGGTTATATTATTTTTTTTGAGGTTATGTTACCTTTCAATTTCATGATTTTTTCGAAATATTTGCGTAGATTTTCATTCCTTTTTAGAGTTATTCGAAATCGATTCTATTTAATAACTTTCCGGTGTTACCACGTGACGCTTCTTAAACGAAATTAAAAACCCCAACAAAAGAACGAATTTTTTGTGGGGCCCCCGCGTCACAAAACGTCAAACATTGCACCACAAAAACACACAGAGGCGGCGAGGCAAAAGCAAAGAGCACAGTTACGTGTCACAACCGAAAAATCTATCGAGGTTTATCTTCCGTTGATGAATCTTTTCAACTTTAATTGATATACTTTGACAAATCTCGACCGCACGGAGATCAAAAGATTTTTCCCGGTGAAAATTTTTGAAAAACTGCGTTAAATTTATTGAACAACAATGGCGACTGCCACTAAAAACAGCCGAACAACGCACATATTTATTCCTACGAACGGACGATGGCAGCAAACTACGTACGGAGCAAACGCGAAAGCCAAGGCCTTAAACGACCGCAAGAGTCAATGCACCGACTTGACAAACACTAAGATTCACTTAAATTAAATAACAATACACGTGTTTTTAATTGTAAGAGGGACACTAATTTTTAAATTGCGTATTTTTCTATCAGCGTTTACGCAAAACGGTCCGTGTGAGTGCGCGCCGAGTTTTTTATCGGCGTTAAAAGCCGGTCGAGTCAAATCAGCTACCAAACGCGCTTGGCGGGAGATTTAAATTTTATCCGCCGACTATTTTTATAAATTTATTATTTTCAATTTAAATAATTTATTATTTATAACAATCATTTTAAAAGAGAATCGTGAAATAAATTAGAGTCAAAAAACAATTTCTTCTATACATGTTTTCATAAAAAAATCGATACCAACATTTAAACAATAATATTTATAATTATTTCATTTATAACTTTAATCTTAATAAAATTAAACTAAAAAACAAATTTCTCATTTTATTTTTCACCCAAAAACCCAGCCCAACGTAATATTTGCCAAAAAAGAATTGAAAAACATAACCTCACATTTAATTGTTCGTTTCTTTTAAAATAATTCATGAATATCCAAAATGATTTATAAATATCTTATCAAAAACGATGTTGATAGTTTCATAAATACATTTACAGATAAATTTATCCAAAAAATAAAATCTTAAAGATCATTTTTCATAAACATATACTTACTACATTTTCCATAAACACGTCCTTTTTCGCTTAATAAGCGTAAACATTTCTCACTTATACCCAACATCTAAAATAATTATAATCTTTCCGTTTTTATAGAAAAACTTACGTTTAGCACCCATTACAAGATGTCATGTGCTTTGACATTTAAAAATTGAGGTTATATTTAAACGTCAACTAAGTGTCAAATAGCAAAGTGAGGTTAATAATGAAAATTAATTATAATAAAAATGGTTTTTTTAAGTAATGAAGGCATTTTAAGGATTTCCTTTAACGAATCCATCAAGGTAATACTTCCTTTTTAATTATTTATGATTATCTAATTACACGTTTTTTAGTATGACAAACCAAATCGGATTTATCCCTTTGAAAATAGTCCAATTTACGAATCAATAATCACCGATTGTGCTAAATTAACTAAAGGAGACGATGTTAAAGACATCTACGAAATAATGATATCTTTGTCGGAAGAAATCAAGCATGATTCCGAACCAGGAGATACAATTGCAATTCTTCCAAAGAATAACGAAAAAGAAATCGATGAAATCTTAGAAATATTGGGTTATAAAGATAATATTAACGACGATTGTTATTTCTATGTTTTAAATGAAAAGAAACGAAAACTTTTTGCTCATTTACCATTAAAAAGTACTTTAAGAAATGTTTTCTTAGAAAATGTTGATGTACGGAGTCCATTTAAAAAGACTTTTTTAAAAAAATTATCTAGTTATTCCACTTCGAACGATAAAAAGCTCCTTGAAGATTTATCATCACCTAAATCTGAGAATTATTTAAATTTCGTTGAAGAAAATAACTCACTTTTGTGCTTTCTAAAAAAATTTTCTTCATGCAAACCTCCAATTGATGTTATTTTAGAAAATTTGCATCCACTACAACCCAGAATTTACTCCATAGCTTCATCACCATTAATAAAAAACCAATTAAAATTAATTTTTTCTGTTATAATTAATGAAAATTCCCATCTCAAAGGTGTTTGTAGCAGTTATTTAGAAAAAACCGCGTTAATTAATGGCTCAATAAACTTTTATTTTCGAAAACCATCGTTTCGAATTCAATTACAAACGAATCCAGTTATTATGATTGGTCCAGGGACGGGTTTGGCTCCATTTTTAAGCTTTTTAGAAACGTTGAACCTTAAAAACATCGAAAATTCAGATTGTTGGTTATTTTATGGGTGTCGATACAACAATAGAGACTTTTTATACGAAGCCAAATTAAAGAAGTACTTAAATGATGGAGTTTTGAAGAAATTATCAGTGGCTTTTTCGAGAGAATCAAAAAAAGGGAAAATCTATGTGACTCATCTAATTGGGAATGAATCAGATTTGATTTTTAATAAATTTGTTGAACAAAATGGATCAATTTATGTTTGTGGTGATGCTAAAAATATGTTTAAAGATGTCCAAGAAGCACTTTTGGGGTGTTTGGTGGGGAATGGGATGGGTTTGGAAGAAGCTGAAAGATTTTTAGAGGGGAAGATTAAGGAAATGAAGTATATTGAAGATAAATGGGTGTAAAAATTGTTTTATTTTTGTTAATAAAGTTAAGTAAAAGGGGATTTGTGTTAATTTTAGTTGAATCATATCAAAATGTTTTTTAAGTAGAATTAATTTCATTAATTAAGCTGAACCCAATTACTTGCAGTATCTTTATCAAATCTTGTTGGAGAAGCAAGTCTTTTGGCTGTCAAGGTTATAGGTGTGAGATTTCATCTACTATTAAAGCATTAAAGAGTTTTTATTAATACATAATACTATATTTCCATTTATCATAAAGAATGTTACTCTTTATTCTTTAAAAAAATTCGGCTTTAAGGCGCCATGGAGACAAGGTTATGAAGAATCAGATACAGGTAGTAGATGACCTCAAACGTTGACCTTTCTTTATGATCTTTCACATATGTTAGAGAGAGTTAACAAACATTGAAGAGAGCAGAAAACGATAATAAAAGAAAACTTGATAATGATTTTATTGCCGCGCATATATAAATAAGTTTGAGATATAATTTCGTCTTAGTTGGACGAAAATATTATAGAAGTTAAGATGTTTGTTGCCACGATTTTTTTAATGCTTATTATAACAGCAATAAATTCAACTTCTGCTTATGGTAAGTTTATTAATAAAAATCACCAAAATATCTAAAAAAAGATTTTATAATGTCAGAACCTTATTATTGGAAAACATGCAATGGAACAGTACCGGATGATGCTGTTTTAACTGAAGATTCAACGATTTTTGTAAGTCGTGTCTGCGCAGGAGGACGTGAGTTATACAAAATTCTTATTTAATTTAAATATAGGATTATATTTACAGATCACGACCGTATTAGTTGTTTTACATCGACATACAACTCAAAAGATATTACTTCTACAGCCAATGTTAACGGACATAGGTCAATTTTTTATAAAAATCATATGGTAAGTTATTAATTTAAATATATGTACACAAGTATGCAACCAATATCACAGTATTGGTATTGCAATACGCGATTTGCGTATTTGGTTGCATACTTGCAATGATGACGTCGAGTACGATAATTAATTAACACACTATACATTGATAATAAACAAAATTGATTCAGATTTTAAGTACATCTCACCCAGAACTTTTACGATGGGAATACGTTAATATTCAAACCGTGCAAGGAGATTTTCTAAAGAAAGTTGTATCCGCTGGTTCTTTAGACGGAGTTGATAGATATATTGGAAAGGTTTTCCACGAAAATCAATGGAAAATTTCAACGGTGAAGCCGACTGAAGGTTTAATGATTTGGACAAACAAAGACGGAACTGGAGTTAATGTAACCGATTTTCAAATACTTGTAATTCTTGCAAAGGCAGAACCAAGTTATGTTCAAGTACAGCAACAAAGTGAAAATGAATGTATGATGTGTCAGTGTTCACGAAAGTGCTAAAAATTATTGTAATAAATAAATAAAACGCTCAAAATAATAATTTGTAAATTATTTTATAAACCTTGTTTCTATCTCTATTAATAATAATAATTTGGCTTTATTATGGTACTAAGGTTTAATTAATAAGTCAATTTTTTTAAGGACAATTTATTGAGCTTTTCATATCCACTTCTCATAAAAAAATGTACAAGATTATCAAATCGTAATAAACCTTAAATTGTATACAAATACGATACAAAAAAAACCTCGAAATTAAAATTAAAACCTACATAAATATCGATTGGAAATACATATTACGTTCCTTATAATTTTTATTAAAACGTAAAAATATAAATTTTCTTAGCACTGTATATAAAATGCAAATTTTCAGTCGTATATTTTATTTAATTTATAATTAATTCTTTTTGCACTCAAAAAAAAGGCACACTCGTTTCATTACTCGATAATATATCAATAAGTTTTAAAATTCTATTTCTTTAAAATCTGTTTAGCAGCTTTAATAAGCGGTACTAAAGTTTTCAATTCATGGCGATCTTTTAAAAAGTCGTGATCCAATAAAGCATTGGCGGTTGCCCTTTTATCAACATCAACTTGAAGACAATAATCGATAAAATCTTGCAAACTACTTGATAAATCGTTCCATCTGGTAACTTTTGGCCTCCCGTTTGCTGCGATTAAATACAACGCTCTTAACGGGGGTTCTTTTAAATATGGGGGTTCACCATCGATCATTTCAATCGCCATAATGCCTAAAGACCAAATATCGACTTTTTTACCGTATTTATAACGATTAACAACTTCTGGCGCCATCCAATATGGGGTACCAACCATGGTACTTCTTTGTTCATCCCCAGTGATATTCGCGCAAAAACCAAAATCGGTAACTTTAACAGAACCATCCATCCCCAATAAAACATTATCCGATTTAATATCACGATGAATTACACCTTTTGAATGTAAATACTTAATCGCTTGTAAAACTTCGTAACAAACTGCAGCGATTTGTCCTTCTTTCATAATCGTTTCGGTTACAACGTCGGTTAACGGACCACCATCTAACAATTCCATAACAACCCAAAGACAATTGTTTTCTTTTAAAAGATACGCATCCAAAAAATTAACTAAATTTTTATGTTTAAAATCACGCATTATTTTAATTTCATTAACCAAAAGCTCTTTTCTAGAAGTTTTAGCGATATCTATACATTTTATAGCGACCGATTGTTGAAGTTGAATATCGGTTGCGACAAAAACGATACCGGAAGCGCCAGAACCCAAATCTTTAAACGATTTATTAAAACGCTTCCGTGGATCGCCTTTGTTACAAATTTGAGTTAATTCGCGCATGTAATCGTGATCTGTTAGAGGATTTGAGTCGATTTTACGCCGAATAAAAGTATCATCAAAGTCGGAAGAAACGCAAATTAGTTCGTTGTTGGTGGCTGGAGGAGTGGTTGTGGTGGTTTCGATGTCGATATCCGGTTGAGATAGATTTTCGATGTTTGGATAAGATGTTAAATTTTTTGGTGTTGGTTTAATGTAGGTTTCACACCTTTTATAAATGAATAAATTAAATTAACTGTTTAATTTTGCTTTATTAAAAGTGGTAATAAAAAAGTTATATTATAATCTTGATAAAGATGAATTGATAAGAGATCCTTTTTTATTTAAAGATAAAAAGATGTGGATTAGTCTCCAAATCAGTTGCTTTAGAACAAAACGCACAATCAGCTGGGATCATGGTTCTTTAAATAAATAATTCCAATTTGTTCATTTTTATTGTTTTATTATAAATTAATTTGTCTAACCTTTTTTTTACCACTTTAAATAAATAAAATTTAAACAACAATTCTCTTTATAAAAGAAAAAGGATTGTTTTTGAAATTTTAACCTACCTCCTAGTTTCATGGTTTACATCCTCTTTCTTTGGACTTGATTTTGGTTCATCTTCGGAGCCCCTACTGAAAAATTAATTATATTATTAATAAAATTTAAGTTAACCTTAAAAAGTCAAAAAATTAAAATTGACACAAACTGTCAAAATGACATTTGAACTGTCAAAAATTAGATTTCATTTAGAGTTTCAAGCAATTTTAAAATTAAAATTTCTCCTACAAACACTTAAAACCTAATTAAATTCTATGAATAAACCTATTATAATATCCTAATTAGTACTCTCTCCAAGATTTTTTTATTACCAAAATCCGTACACATTTTATTCATTAAATAAGTTGATGTCAATGCATATTCCTCATATTTTCATACACTTTAATCTAAAATTGAACAAAAAGTTCTTAATATTATACGAAAATATTCCAAAAACAAATTAATAAAAAATCCTGTGATTGCTAATTATCATTTGTCAATTTTTTAATCTTATCATAAAGCTTATAAAAACATAAGAATTACGCAAAATAATTCTAATAATTTAAAGAAAAAAGCCTCACCTTGTAGTTTCTGACCCAGAACTCAACTCAGTATCGGAATCTTTACTTTTATGTGCATCCCTTGAATACATAAACCTATCGATAGCCCTCGTTTCTTCATTAATCCGATCTTCAGTAAGCAATTTGAATGGTTCATCTTTCTTTTTCATGACATAATTGTAATACTTAACGGCATCAACTACAGCCATTGGGTTTTCGATTTTTTCCGTTTCTGTGATTTGAAATTGAATCTGTCGCTGCCATGATTGAGGTAATCCCTCCAGTTTACCAGTTTCTTTATTCTTGCTGACATGAACATCGTGTTTCACTTCGGTCGGGGCTCCAATATTAATTAGGATCGACGACGATGACTCATTGCTTTCGCGTTTTTTGAATATTTTCTTAAAACTATTCATTTTTATTTACCTTGGTGAGACACCGGAAAAATAAAGATGATAAACAATAAGTAAAAAATTTTCAAGGAGTTTTTAAGAAGATAAAGTGAGGTTAAGGATAAAAAGTGGGGTGTGAGTTAAGGGTTACACAAAATTAATAAAATTTATGTTTTTCATGATTTTGAGTTAGAAGGAAAACGTTTGAGGCGGTTTTTGATAAGGTTTATAGAAGGTTAGCGTTTTTAAGGAGTGGTTGATTTGGGGACATTTGGTGTCGTCACTCAACAATGAATCTATCTGTATGCATTGTTTGGCGATTGGAGGTTATGTGATGGAGTGGGGGATTTAAAATGACATATCTATTTGACAGTTTAAATTGGATACGTTCAGAAATTAAATTGTTATAAAATTAAAATTAGTTTTTAAACTTTTGCAATAACACTTCGTATTGAAGCTTTAGTTTACTTTTTATATTTAGTTTCGAATCAAAGTGATTAGTTAAGTTATGCTTGAAGATGTCAAAAGAACCGAAAATTGTAAATGATTACCATTCATTTTTGAGAGTTCAAAACCAATGTAGGTCTCTTTAAGATTTTATTTGAGTGTCTCATTACTCAAATATCTCAATTTTGGTGATCTTCTTACACTTGTATAAATAACAAGTTAACTATCAAGTACCTAAAACAATACAAACAAATCTACTAAGGTTGTTATCATACAATTAAACATATTAGAATATGGGCCCAAGAAAGGCACTCAACCGAATCCAGTATTCAATTCTGATGCAGTCGAAGCAGTTAGATAAATGAGTCATCAACTGTTGACTTATAGCAGCTTTTGTATAAAGAATAAGGCTGGATCTTGTTTCAAGCTTCAAGACATGAAATGAAGGTGACTCATGCTTGCCTCAGTTTTCTCTTCTAATAATAAATGTAACAAGGACTTCTTCGAAGATGAAACTTGCTTTGAACCTAAAAAAAGGTTGTTAGTGAAGGTTAAATGGATAAAAAGTTAATTAAAAAAATGAATTAATTCTTATTTATAATAAATGAATTGATTTACAAGTTTGAAAATTTAAATTGTTTGATTTGTGGTTAAAAATTAACATAAATATTACAAGATTGTTTATAAATATATTTACAAAAATCTATATTTACAAGTTCAATATGTAATAAAACATTATAATATACAATTCATTTAAAATTCTCTTCAAATCTAATTTAATAATTATATTCACGATAACCCTGAAATTTAAAACAGTAACAGGGATTTCTTTTTTGGGTTTGGATCGAGTTTTATCGTACATTTTTTAATGGGAGTGAAAAAGGACGCATTTACAATTATTTTTTACAAATTCTTTCAGTTATTTCTTCGAAAAGTGGGAATAGGAATAAAGATGGGACAGGAAGAGGCGGCAACTAACAATAACAATTATTTACAAATAATCTATAAATACATGATTACGTTTTTTTTTTGTATTTCGAATTGAAACAGAATGAAAAACAACAACAAAAAATAAAGAATTAAAAAAAAAAAGATTAAAATTAAACAAGAAATTTTAAAATGATGTAAAAAAATCGCAATCTGTAATTTATATTCACTTTTTTAACTGAAATCAAAACCGGAAAAAGTCTATTAATTTATTAGTTAGGCAGTGTGTTTAAAAATAAATTTTTTTTATCTAAATTCAATATCAAAAAGTTTTTTACATAAAAAAGAAAAACAAGAACCAAAGAGGATTTTAAAAAATAACAATTTTCTCTTTTTGAGATAACATCATCTCCGTTTTCGAACTAAATTCATCAATTTATTTCTTTTGTTGTTCTTTTTTACACAATTTTAACTCATTCTGTGTTATATGTTAAATCACTAGCCCCACGATCCGTCGTTTCCAAAGGTCGGACCCAAAAAATGATAACCGGAAGAAGAAAGAACCGCCAACGTAGTCGTCGGTCATCATCACCGTCATCGTTATCATCGTCATCATCATCACCTTATTACTTCTTTGTAATTGAGTGAGGGCGTCGCTATCACCTTGGCAACGACGACGCCGATTTAATTTTTGGTTCCGTCAATCACTATCGGACATAACCTTTTTTCTTTTTTTTGCCTGTTTAGGTTTTACTATTTCTTCTTCCTGTTAACATTTAAAGAAAAAAATTATAATGCTGACGATTAAATTGCGCATAAACAATTTCTTTAAGAGTTCATTTCAAGTTTATATTGATTATTCTGACTCGACCGGTTTTCTACTTAAAAAACACCCATCATCAGGAGCGTATAAAGTGCTTTATGTCCGTATTTTGTGGACAATGTACTTAATAACATAAGCCGAAAGTAAGTTTTAAATGAGAAGACGAAAGAGATCCCTAGGGTATAAATGTTAAAAGTTGACAAACAAAATACCAAGAAATAGCTGCTTTGGCTTAATCAGGTACAATTAATGCCATATCAACCTAAACCTGGATAACATGTATAAAAAACGACTCAACCACAAGGGGGTCTGCTTGATCAAGTGATATGATGTATTCTCTGCTTAAGTATAACCAGGCACAATTAACGCCATATCAACCTGAAGTTTGATAGCGTTTACAGTAACAAAAAAAGAACTTTTCTTGGAAAAGATCGACATAATAGAGATGCAAAGAGCTAGTTATTGGTGGCTATCATCTCTGAGTCTTTGGCTCAATTCACATCATTTAGTATTGAACAACTTTGTGAGCATTCTCAACTTGCTTTTTGTAATAATGTTATTTCATTATAATGTCTTAAACCAAAGGTCTCTAGGAATGATATTATAATCGCCATGAATCTTCCTGTTTCTTCAACATACTTCCTACAGCTAAAAGAAAATCTTAACAAAGATAAGACATAAAGTATTAAATCCATTCACCATGAATTGGACTAAAAATTTGATTCAATAATATTAAAAAAAATCTCACCTCACTACTTTCTTCTGAACTCTCTGAGATCTCTTTGACAGGCCTCTTGGGTGCCGATTTCGCAGCGGGTTTCCTCCCCCGTCCAGGTCCCCTTTTGACGACCGCCGTCGTGTCCTCCTCTTCTTCCGTTAACGCGAAGAGGTCCGCGAAAAGTTTCTTTTGACCGTCCGTACTATTATTTTGCGCCACATTAAGCGCCCTTTGCATCGAATCCAAAGCAAACAACCCCAACAACCCTTCCTGATGTTGCTGCTTTTCACAACAGTTTAACCTCAACAAATCCAAATGTCCCAAAACTTGATCGGCACTCGGCACCGCGGCACTAATTTTCGCCCGTTTTCGTTTATTCGGTGACGTAGCCGGATATCGAGTGCTTAAAAGTGTCGCGATTAATTCGCCAAGTTTGTCCAAATCACTATCGCACCAATATTTTATCATCGTGAACACAAACGGATCACAATTATTACGAATATCGCGCGAAAATAAATGTTTTATCGTATCCGATGTTGGTTTATCTTGTTTTAGCATCAGTGTAATTGAAGTTAAAGCTTCCGGATGTTCCCGATAATTTAAATGTGTTAAAATTGGGGTGATCGTATCAATTGAAATATCATGGGCTTGAATTAACTGCCAAAAAAAGAATTGTTCGATGCTCTCCCACGTTAAACTCGTTTTTAATAAATTCTGTAACGAATCGTTTTTAAACATTATTAATTTCCCGCGTAAAATATCACCGATTAAATCTTGTAATTGCCCCGCATCTATCGACGAGATTATCACCCGTAATATTTGAGCGTTATTTAACGTTTGTTGTTTAAAGTCTTTGTACAAATCGGGAACGATCCACATCATTAAATTAATATCGTTGATATGACACGCGTTTAAATCGTCGTAAAGTGAGTTATCGAGTTTTTTTTCAATCGTTTGACAAAAATCTTTATAAATGGAGGTTTTAAGCGGAGTTTTTTTCACTTTTAAGTAATAAAGTAATAAGTAACCTAGGTTTGTTTGGGAATTTGCTAACTCCCCAATGAATTTTATGATTTTTTCTCGAGATTTTGTATTAAGTAGTGGTTCAAAAAGTGCGAAAATTGGAGATTTAATACTAGATAACAGGGAATCGTCGGTTAAAGTGTTTGGAAAAAAATCAGTTCGAAAAAAATCGGTTGTTAGCAAAGTTTTTGAAATAATTGGAAATAATTCTTCGTCGGTTTCGATAATGTTTTTCATGATTTCTTCTAAAATTTCGTAACGTTTTATAGAATCTTTTTCAAATTGTAATTTATTTAACGCGATTTTTAGTGGTCCATCTACTTCGGGTTTATCTTGAATTTTTTCTTTTAATCTTACTTTAGCTAAGGGGATGTCATCATCGTCGGTGTCTTCTTCGGTTTGTATCAAGAGTGGTTCATCTTCTTCGTCGCTAAAAACCGGATCTTCGTGATTATTGATATTGTTAAATTGATTTTCATCGTCGTCTATTTTTAATATCGGGTAATCAGCCTCGCTTTTCGGATTTGATTCGATAACAACACCCTGGCAAAATTCTTTGAACGTTTCCCGAATCATGTTTCTCAATTCGCGATCCAATTTTGCGTTATCGAATAAAGGCACCAATGAGGGTAAAACCCGTTTATCTAAAATTTGTCTTAATGATGAAAAAATCCCGTTTCTTACTTTTTCGGTTAACGGGGGATAAAAATTTAAAATTATCCGACATAAAAAATCGAGTAAAGTTGCTGAAACGGCCGGATGCGATCGCATTGAATGGTGCATCACCAAAATCGCCGGTTCTATATTCATTATATTGTCTTTTTCTGAATCAAAAAATAACCAATCGTAAAACAAGGATAATTTAGCGTTTGAGGCGGCCACCGATGATGTACATGTTGTTAATAACCAACCGATTACAGCCCAACGTGGGATTATATCTGAACAAAGCAATTCATTGGTTGGATGGATAACTCCAACGATAAATCGAATCATATCGCAACGAAGGCTTTGGGATTCCGGTGTTGATAAATATTGGCGTTGAAACCAATCTTGGTATCGTTTATGATTACCGAAACGAACTTGCGAAGTTAAAAAAACCAATTTTCTTTCCATTTCCGGCGTTAATCGACTTTGAAGGAACCGACGCGACGTTCTTGTTTGTAATAATTGTAAAATCCCGTTAAACGATGGCGATAACGATTTTGGGGAGCCTAAAATATCCTTCCAAAGTTGTTCAAACTCAGGAATACGAGCCACATTTTGTAGAAGCCTCACAAGATCCCGTCCGAGCACTAAGCATTCGTGAAAACGTTCTCTTAGCACGCCGATTAAGAAATGAATTTCTTTTTGTTTTAATTGCAGTAAATTCGGGGAGTTGTGATCTTCGATTAATCTTAAATAAGTATAAACAACTGAGGCTAATAACAATGGAAATTTATCGAGCCAAGCACGAAATTCGATGAAAACGTCCAAAAGTTTATCAATTAACGTGATATTTTTAACAGAAACATCGCCCCCGGCTGCGTGTCGCATTAAATTCCAACATAAATTATCCACGTTGCTCACCGAGTTTCTAATCATCTCTCGCAACAACCAAAGGAGTTGATTTTTAACCACATCGTTAAATCTTAAATATCTATCCAAAACCAATTGTGATAAATGAGTGAGAATCAATCCAAAACCATCTCGAGTAATCAGCGTTAAATCATGATAACATTTCGCGGCGTTTTGGGGCTCCGTTAGAATGATTACCAAAAGTCCAAATGAAACTTCCTCATAACCTTTATCTTTGAGTAAAGCGTTGTTTAGGGCGTCGTGAGCTTCCTTGTCACTTAAACCGGAAGTTAAACTCTGTACCAATTGATAACTTCGTTCGAATTTCTAAAATGTTAAAAAGAAAGATTAGAAAATTGAATGAAAATTGAATTACGCGCCATTTCTTGTATGACAAATGAATAGAAAGAAGAAGTGAGGGCGAGAATCATAATGGCGGCTTCTCGGTCGGTAAATTTTTCGGCCCAATAAAAATTTTCGTTATTACCTCCTCTAAATCGTCTTTGTTTTCGACTACGGACGTCACGAATAGTCTCGATTGGGACGTCTTCACCTGCTCCATGCTCCCGTTTCGTCTTTGGAACCGTCTCGGAGGGCCCTTATGCACTAAGAGGACGAACGCACGGGAGGTCCGTGCATCGTGTTCCACCGTCCTCGAGGAAAGTGTTTTGTGAAAAGCGAACGCGCGATCGTATATATGCGCCGCCAATGTCCGATCGTGGCGCTATACAACGGATTTTAAACGAACCCGATTCGTTTGGTTCGGTTCTCTATCTATGTAGCACTTCTAACCTCTTTAACAACCGTGCGCTTTTAACTTTTAACCACACATTTTACTCGTTTTGATTCGTTTGCTCTGTTGTAGCGTTTTAAACCGACTATTTTTTCTTTACCCGTTGCATCTCTTACGCGCACATCGTTCGCTCTCATTCTTGTATACAAATTGATACGAGGAGAAACGCCAAGTGCAACCTTGGGAGACATAACCTCAAAAAAAATACATCTAGCTGTCAAAAATTATTTAAATAAAAAAATATTTTTCTTTTTAAATTATTTTCAATTATTAATAACTTTTATTCTTTTAGTAACAAAGCATTTTTGCCCGTTAAGCAACAATTTATAACTTGAATTGAAATTTGAGTCACTTTGATAAGTCTATTTTCATGTTTATGAAATGAAATCATAAGATAAAGTTTAAAAATCTTTGTTTTTAAGCCCAACAATACAATTTATAGTTAAATTAAAATATGCAAGGTTTTAAAACGAATAAATTAAATTCTGAAGGGGGCTATAATACATTGAGTGTATTACTCAATCTATTAAGGTAACAATAATTTTACAGTGGCGGACAAAAGTCTACATTGAATTATCAGGTTTTAGTACAACGCAATAAGATAAAATTAGTATTAGTGTGATTAGAGATACTTACTTATTCACAAAACAGAACAAAACAAATCGCTCAGCAGCTACATACTAAAAATTCAACAAATAATACAAAAATTAATAGGACAAAAGTTTAGTTTTTAACTAAAAGTAAAATATTTCGTTAGGCCCCCATAAGCTTTTATAACAGGCGTCGTGGCATTGATGCAACTAAGTTTGTTGTCTCTTCTGCTGTTAATTCCACTAACGCAGATTTCAGTGTTTTCGCATCTGTGATTTTGCATCTTACGTTCCAAAAGCTCCGAAACATGCTCGATTGGATTTAAATCCCGACTCTGAGGAGACTGCCGGAGTTCATAACATGATTGGATTCATTGTCTTGCAATCCTCCAAGGCCAAGCTTGTCTATGATGGCTTCAAATTTTGTTCTAAAATACTTTTATATTTCTACCGATAAATAATTCCATCAATGAATGCCAATTTTTCTACACCAGATGCTGCTATCGCTCCCGAAATCATAACCGTGCTTTTGTCCTTCAAATTTGTGTCAAACCATCACATCCAAAAAGGTTGTTCAACAACTGGTCAGTAAACAAAACCCTAGATCAGAAATCTATTCTCTTGTCGACATGAGATTGAGCAAATTCTAGTCGAAGATGGCGAATGTTTTCTAAAATTGTCTGAAATTTCGGGGTGTTGTGATAAATCACAAACTAAATACTAATAACTAGATCCGTAATCCCTACTGAATTAAGTAAAAATAAAATGAATGGCAGCTACTTGATTTCTTTAACTGTGCATTGTAGATTTGTTTTTTAGTTTGCATCACACTGTAATACTAATTTTGTATTATCTTATTATGTTTTACAAAAACCTCATAATTCATTGCTGTATGTAGACTTTTGTACGTCACTGTATATAATAATGTTAGCAAAAATGAAAAGAAATACAAACACAAAAGATTATTTAAAATGGAACAACTTTGGACCATATGTATTTAAGGAATGCTTGCTAAGCGCACCAAAAGAGCTATGTGGAACATACAAAAGAAAGAAAACAAACCAAGTCACCCCGACAACACTTCGGCACATTTCCATCGTGAACTTGCTTATATGTTTTTTTTTTGCAAATAATAATAGCAATGATTTTAAAACTCCAAGAGAGTGAAATATTTTTATTTTTTATTTGCACCTCGAAAAGTAAATATTGAATTTATTCACGAGATGTTATTAAACAGATTATTAAAATAGAAAACGAAACTTGATTAAATGAATTAAATTCGTTGTAAAGGACCACAAAATTTATAAGTTAATTTTATGAATAATAAAGAAATCATTCGCCTATTCAAGCTTATAATACAAAAAAAGACTTTTGATAAGAAAACGCTTTAAAAAACCACTTTAATTATCGCAAATTCTTAAAATTATATTCTTATCGACAAAAAAAACCTACCGGAAAGCAACTTCTACAAAACTACAAATAAGTTAGTGATAACCACGTGTTAATAATTTTTTTCATTTCACTTTAAACCTTTCGCTACTACACTTATGAATAAGCAGTCGTTAATGTCAGCTGCTATGCGCGTTAGTAGGCGCTTACCAGGCTGCAGCAGTGAAAGGGTTAAGTAAACCTACTGATGAGTTGGTATGATACCCAGGCTATAAAGAGTAACGTCGAATTGTTACCATGTTATTGACACAAAAAACTGAAGAAAGAAAAACTTATCGAGTGGGATCAAGGAAGAGAAGAAAAAAGAAACAGGTAGTTAAATGGGGGGGCAGTAGAGTAAGTGATGAAAAAAGAATGGAAAAAAATTTTTAATGTTAATTGTCAAGTAAGTTTATGAAATATCTTTGCTTTCAGAAATCTTCTTAAATTATTTTTCTAAGTGTTTATGTATACATATAAAAAATGCGATTTTAAGTTGTGAAAAGATTAAAAACGGTTGGAAAGGATGCCTAAAAAGTTAAAGTTCAAAGAGTGAAAGAGAAACTTGGATTAGGGTGGAGCAATGCGAACGACGAAGAAAACACATACCAAACAACTGACAATGATGAGCTATTTTGAGAAAATATAAAAAGATTTGACAGGGTTTGGTTAATGAAAAACGTATGCAATAGTAAAGCACAAATTATAACATTTTATAAAGCTATGAAGATAATAAGACAAAATACTGAAAATTTTCAGAGTTTCTTGCTTACTTTCTTACCTCCTTCTGCATCTTCACTTTCTATGACAACCACTCAAATTTCTTACTTTTTTCCCCTCTTTTACTTTTACATCCCCGTCCTGTACTCCTTTACCCATTTCTGCTCAATTTTATTCTCACCACTTCCTATAATTCATCCAAATACATTTCTACACAGCAATTTGATAACCATAGGCTTCACCATAGCAAATGACATATATTTCAAAAACACCAGGAGTCATTTTATTAGGTCTTTAACCATTTTTCTAGCTTCTTCCTTTCCATTCTTACACATGTAACTATTCTCTCCTCACCTACTCATCAATTTTTTACGTCTAGTTTTGAAACCCTTTCTTGTTGAGCTACCAGAGGCATTTAGACAGCAAAAGAAAGCTTTGCAACAGTATGAAGATGAAAATATTGAATACACCAACTGGAATTCCGAAACCTACAGTGCAAGTAAAAAATTTTACGTTACTGGCTGATGACCAGATTTCTATTTCCCATTTCACTTACATTTGCGATGACAATAAACAACACCCAAGGAAAAATTAGGTCAAAATTAGTCAAAATAGTGTTTATTTAAAAGACCTGTTTAACACAGGTAGTCATACTTCGTTTCTCGAGCAAGTGAGGTCTGTAGATATAAAGATATACACCTGTAGGTTGAAGCTGGATCTTGTATACTTTCGTTTCATTTTGCGCAGGAACAACTGCGAAGAGGAAGGGTTTCGAATCAGGATGTCCCACTGAAAGTTGACACTTTGTACGACAAGAAATCATCCGCAAAAGTGCTCCACTCCAAAGCAAGCATGACGTCATCAATGGTGGAGTACACATGTCAGGTATTTTATAGTATAAAAAATAAAAAAAAGAATTTTCTTTGTGATTGATGAGCCATGTCATGAATGTTACTATCATTTCTTTTCCTTCAATCTTCCACCTCTCACGCGATAGCACGCATACAGCCAGTTCAGATAGTTATAAGACCTCATTGTCTTGAGTGGACAGAAACCCACAAAGTACAAATAACTGGGATGCAGTTATCAGTCCTTACGTTTTTAAAGATGACAGAAATGGTTGTGACTGTATGCCAAGACTAATTTAATAAGGAATATGATGTAGACCCAAAGTGATAACAAAGGGCTTAAGAAAGTGCAACACTTTCAAAATTAAAATCAAAAACAATTATTTATTTATTCATGATAAAATGTGTATTACACTTATCTATTGATATTTAAGAATAAAATGGAATGTTATTTTTGAATCACAATTTACCCTTTTTGTATCGTTGCCTCGCCTGGGATTTTGTAAATTTCGATTTTGTTTTATTTTTAACTTCATCTTTAACATCATCATCCATTCCCACTTAAGAAGAAAATATTTTATCAACATTTAAAAATCAAAAAAAAAAACTTACACAAATCATCTGGAGGTTGTAACAGCATATTTCTTTGATTCATTATGTAATGTCTATAACATTTACCCACAGCATAACCCAATATCGAGATGATTATAGTCACTAAAGCCATTACAAGTGGATGCTATTTTAAAAATTGTTTTATAATTAAAACAAAGTAATTAACTAAATAGTTACCGTTGGTTTAACAGTGTATAAATAATCTAAAATGACTAGAGAAACTCCTAAAACAATTCCGATTCCACTTCCTAACCAAGGAATCTGTTCATTCACTTTTGTGTCGTGATGATATTGTCTCCGAGCTTTATGAATACAACCCAAAATAAGATCATCGTTCGGTTGAAATTGCAAAGCATGTTCATAACTTAAAATAGCTTCAGTAAAATGTTCCGTAGCAAATTCAACTTCACCTTTCCGAAAATAACCCTTAAAATGTTAAATAATTTTATTTTAAATCGCGTTTTTATCAACATCATACTTTAGCTCCAATAGGATTTAATTTGATGGCTTCTTTCGCATCTTGTAATGCATGATAATATTGTTGCATTTTTAAAAAAGCAAATGACCTATTGCTGTAATAAATTGGATTGTCGCCTTGCATTTTAATTGCTTGGGAATAATGCAAAACAGCTTCGGCAAATTGTCCATTTTTAACTGCTTTGTTACCCAAATCTTTTACGTCTTCGGCTGTTAACTAAAAAAATTAAAATATAGTCAATATTTTGGGTGTATTTACTTTTGATTTGATGTTATTTAATTTATTAACCTCCTCCGTCATTTTTCGCTATAAATTGATATCAATTTAATGATTATTTATTTATGTTGGAAACATAACCTATGTTTTTAAATGTCATCATTAATTTTTGACATTTGTCAGATTATTAGTAGGGTTCTATTGATTATTATTTGAAAGTATAAATTATATTGTGAAGCAGGAAATGCGTTGGTACTATTTGTAGTTATCACAAATAAAGAAATATTAATGTTGTATCAAAATTATTAATTGTTTCTAATTTAAATGTAAATCTTTTTTGGTGAGACAACCCAAATAACACAACCTGTTGGTAAATAATTTTGTGTATATTTTTGTTTATCAAAACAATTTATTCGTTTGGAACAATTAAAAAAGGTTTTTTCAATATAATTCTGCAAGAAAATTTAAAATTTATAAAGAAATGAAGAAAATTAAAAAATTGTTTACAGATTAGTTGTCAAAATTGAAGCGCCACCTGTAGGAGTGTACTCACAAACGTGGTGGTTAAATCAAAAGTGATACTAAAATAGTAATTTTATAAGATAAAAAAAATAAATTCGGCTCAAATTCATCAACAAACGTAACAAAATTATATTTTGGGATGAATTTGTGAGACGAATGAATTAATTGAGACATTTTTGTGTTGTAATGAATACAGACGTTACAAGGACGTTACTTCAGTTGTCAGCTGCTAGCGGAGTTCGACAGAGCGGATAGAAATGGCTACCCTCTGTCCAGGTGTTCAGTATGGTTTGTCGACGAAGGAAAATTTTGGTGAAAATAACACTTTAATATTTATGAAATTAACGGATTCGGCTTTCGGTGCTGTTAGGGAACACATACAACATAAGGTAAGTGGAAAATTTTCCTTCGATATAAGTAATAAAGTGATGTGCGCGAAAATCCATAGGCTACGCGATCCGTTCTCCTAAAAGATAAGTCGCCATATTTCAATTGACTTATTAACCTATTATTGTTTAATTTTCTTTAAATTTTTTTGCGTGATTTTCTTCGTGAAAGTGTTTACTACATTGCGTCGTTGTTAAATTACGTTTTTCCTTGTGGAAAAGTGTTTAAATTCGTTGAAATAACCTCGCGGCCACGTCAACATATTGAAAACGATTTTAAATTAATTATTTAAAACGGTTTTTAGTGAACGGAATCTAATCGGCGTTTATTAAAAATAAGTTCAATCGATTGACGAACGTCTCAATTTTGACTTTATCCATGTCGTTTTGTAACATTTAAACAGAGCCATACCTTACATGGCGTGAATCGGGGACTATTCTCGTTGTTGGAAAGTGATAGTATTTGCTTTCAAAAAATAAAATAAAATCCAACACGTTTAACGTTGTTTTAAAAGATTTTTGTAATCTAAAGAAAACTTGGTAGAAATTAAGTGAGTAATTCTCGTTTTTTTTTCGGACATTAAATATAACCTCAATCTCTATTATAGGTAGGTCTCGATCCGAAATGTTGGGTTATAACTAAAACTCTGTAAATTCCCCAACTATATAATTCAGGATTTATATTTATATAGTTTTTAAATGGCCAAGAAAACTATTTGCATTTTAAGCTAAATCTAACCTTAAATTTATGAAGTTTGATGATTTGGGTCAATTTTTAGGTTAGTTTTTGATTGACAAGGATTTTTTACGTCATATTTTAAATTAATTTTTATTATTTAGTATTTAAGGTAAGTAAAAGGTTTTATTGTCAAAATTATTTGAATCAAATTTCAAGAAATAACATAACCTCAAAATTAAATTCTTTTAAATTTTATCGAAAGCTAACCTAAAAAAATCGTGTTGGGTACAAATATGTCATCGTTTTAACCTCACAATTCAATAATTTTTGTTTAAAACAGTTTCATCGTTTTGAGAGCTTTTTAAGATCAAATTTATTATTAAATCTTAATTATTTTAGTGATAAAGCTTAAAAGTGACAGTTTAAAATGTCAAATATGACATTTCGAATTTGACAGAAATGACATTATTAATCAGTCTTAATTAATTCGGATTCATTGATTAAACAACTTTGATTTAGGTTAATTTTTAGGTTGGAAGATTATGGAAAAGTTTAGAGAAAGTATTTTGTTTCAAAATAATTGTATTGTAGGTTACAAATTCTAACTTAACCTTACTTTTTATAAATCCTGCTGGATGTACGGATATTCAAAGAAAATGATAAACTTACGCGACGTCTGGTGGCACAGAGTTCTCTGATATCTTCGTTTCTCTTATGGTCCCTCAGGGTGTAGCCTGCTATGGATCATAGGATCCTCATCTCTACTGTGCTAATGATTCTTTTTGTTGTAGAGTTTTTAGCCCTTGTTTTCACAGCGTAAGTCATGACAGGTCTTACGCAGGTCAATTTAACTTGTGAATAAATATTGTAAAGATACATTTTGTAATATCGTCATTGTCAAATTTTTAAAGTTTTTGATGAAGTTGGGTTGAGTCTGATTTCTAGTAACATCTTTTTATCTGTTAAATTGGGCATTCATCCAATATGTGTTAACCCCTTGACATACAATGACGTAGCTGTCGTTATTAACAGGTTTTATTTCATATAAAACCTTGTAATTTCGTTTCTTTTTGTAATAATAGATTTCGAAAGGTGGCGCTTTATTTTCTGCGTACTCAAACCAAAAATTTACAACGTTTAACAATATTGTGTATCATTTATTAAATATTGTTAAAGCTGTTATATTATATTATGTCGTTCTGATTTGTGTATAGTTTACCTATTCACTACTAGATGTCGCTAAGATCAAATAGTTAATCTTCTCACCACTAGATATAAAATAAAAAAATATTAAGATGTAAAAAATTTATGACGATGATAATAATTTATTTTAAAATTGTTTCAAAAAAGGAAAATGTTTTCCATAATTTGAGATAAGATAAATTTTAAGTCTAAATCAAATTTCTCTATTTTTGTTATTGTTTGTTATAAGATTGGTTTTTGATAATGTGATGTAATAATTACTGAGTTAGTTTATGATCATAAACTTCATTGGAAATGTTTGTAACATATCTTTTAATAACGCAATTCATGCACGTTTCGTGTTATCTTCGATTGATAATAATTGTGATAGTGCTTTAAGTTAAATTAAGTGAATACATTATTACTATTATTATTAAACAAAAAGGTTTGATGTCTTAAATTACGTTAAAGACATCATCTTTATTATTGAGCAACATTTATTTCAATAATTATTACAAAATCGATTCATAACAAATTTTTTGCATGTCAATAATTTGCGGGTTTCTAATTATAACTGCTAAAGGAATCCTTAAACAGGTGATTCACGCTCAAAATTAGAATTTGTAGAGTGAATTTCCCCTGACTATTTTAAATATTTAAAATATTATACAAAATACGCCATTAATTATTAAGTTATAACAGTTTACTAAATTGAATATTGGGAAATACTTTTTTTCGAAAGAATTTAATAAATCTCGTGTTAATCTGATTACTGACCTTGATTTGTAGATAGAAATTTCGTATTTAACAACTACGCAATAACAACGAACAACAACTTCTTTTTGAGGTTGTTTTAAAAACTTTGTTTACCTTGCAAATTGGTTAATAATGAAACATGCGCAGTTTATTATTTTAAATAATCAGTAGTTTTCGATTCAATTTTGAATTATCTTAATAAAATTAAAAAAGTATTAAAACAAATCTTAGTCCAAACAACGGGGTTATCTTAAATACTCAAGTTAGTGTTTGATATTCAACAAAAAATCGATTTAAAATTGAGATTTTTTTGAAAAACTATTTTTTCCTTAGAATCCTTGAAATTTAAATGTTGTGGGGGGTTTATTGAATTGTAAAATTGAAGCCGAGATACGTTGTTGAAATAAATAAAAGATTTACCTTGAGATAATTCAGTCGTTTAATCAAAATATCGAAAAAGAGATCAATTAAATCGATAGTCTCTTTTTAAATATAAATTGTTTTGTATTGTAACATAATTGTTTTTGTTTTGATCTACTTTTATTTCATTTTTTGTTATTAAACATGCGATATAAACAAAGTGCTTATTAAATTGTGTAATTTTGTAACGAACACTAAAACGAATGGAAATATAATTATTAAATGTAATTATTTTTTGCGTTTTGATTAAAAAAAATTGTTGATAGGAGTGACTAGGCTTATATTTATCGTTTGAGATTAATTTTAACTGCAATGATAAGGAAAAGGTGAATGCTTTTAGTTTTTAATTCAATCTTTTAAGTTAAATTTGTAATAGAAGAGAAACATTAGATTTAGTAAAACATTAAACTGGATAAGTATACGAGACTATAAGCGGTTTTCTATTACCTCAAAACAGGAAGTGTTCGTAGAAATGAAATGTATCTTTATTGTTTCTTAGACCATTTCCAGTAAAATTTCTTTTTTACTCTTATGTCTTAGAAATTTTATTACAAGAATTTCTACAACAAACATTTTATAACTTGCTCTATATAAATTAATACCCACAATTAAAGTTTAACTTTTTATATTTAATTTAATATATGAAACAATAAACTACAACATACACTTAACATTCTCAAAGCTATAAATCAATATTTACTTGTTATACAAGACACAGCTGTTGGTATTCAAATGAATATATCGTTCCAATAGCAATAACTTCCAATTTCGATTTTAATGGTTTTACTACTTTTACGATATTATCTATTCTTGTATTTTAACTTTCATTTAAAACATTACAAGTCTAAAAATCGTTTAGATTAAGAAGTTATTGAGCACACAAAGAAAATATTTGTTCAATTTATTAACTATGTATGTATGTTTATTAACTGTTGTGTTGTTTCGCATTTGACCTTAACCTTGGCTTCTAATAATCTAAATGTGTGTATAAACGTGGAATGTTTTATTTTATTAGTATTTCTTTAACATTTTTTTTTGTTTCACTTTTTTTCCTTTTAATTGATTGCTTTATCCTGAGGCTTTGCGTGTTTACGATAAACTTAAAAACTTCGCCAAACAGTGCTTAAGTGATGTTTAAAGAATAAAACTTGTTGATAATTCGTTAATTGAACAATGTTTTTAACACAAGACAATTTGTTGTGTGATAATCATTTTTTATTATTATTTTAAATACATTTTTTTTTCAATTATTGGATTAACACCAACTTGAATTCCACCTTACAAGTTCGCGCAAATGCCGGCAAGGTCGAAAGCGTAAAACTATGTTTATAAAATTTCAAGCTGATGCTGAGTATTGTTAGCACATGACTGTGCCTAATGTTTATGTGCGAATGTTTGTTTGAAAAGAAAGTTCCTTTAGCATTAACATTATGAACTATTTGAAGCAACGTGTTATTGATATTATTTATGATACTCATTACTTCTTATGTTGCATACTTCGAAACTTCAAAATCATTTGGCAAAATTCTTCAAAAGTCGGTATTATAGTAGAGCGTCGATACTAACTCATTTATCCTATTTTTGTTTATAAAGTAGTATGTTAAAATTATTTTAACTGGCCCAGCTTGAGCCAAAAACAATTCGAGGTAATTCAAGAGTCCATTACATTAACAAGGATTGGCACTAAACAGAGGAGTTTTCGCATTTATATAAAAAGCTAAGGAGATATCCTGAAAAGTTTAGATTCATTATTGCGATAAACTAAGTGAGTTCTAACATTGAAACTATTAAAATGAGTTATAAAAAGGATATGATATTTCTAAATAATACATGCTTAATGAACTACACATTATCTTATCGTGCTTGTGGTTGGTTGATAAGAAAGAGCGATGACTTAGTGATGTAACCAGAATCGGCATTTGTGTGCAAAAAGTGTTTACGCTATGAGAGTTGGTTGGTGATAAAT